ATAGAATTCTGGTTGAAAGTTACTTTTATATATCGGTGAATCCAAATTTTCAGATTTTTCCAGAAAAATTTGAAGAATTCGATAGGGAAGCCATCTAAACCTGGACTTTTGAGGCAGCGCCAAGTTCCTGCAAATTCTGAGGTTGGTTCCTAAGACCACGAAGCCTTCTCCCAAGTGCATCCCAAACGTGCTCTATTGGATTAAGGTCAGGGGACCTCGATGGCCAGTCCATGACGTTGATTCCAGCGTTTTGAAGGAAATTTCGTGTCAACATCGCGGTATGCGGCCGAGCATTATCATGCTGGAACTGTAGACCTGGGCCATGAGCCGCCATGAAAGGAACGAGTTCAGGGGTGAGCACCTGGTCGCGGTAAGCAGCAGCTGTGAGGTTTCCACGGATGACCAGAAGGCGGGAACGGTTGTTCCCACAGAAAGCACCCCACACCATGCAACTTCCGCCCTCGAATCTGTCGACTTCCTGTACACAACATTGGGCATACCGTTTACGACGTCGTCTCCAGACTCTATGCCTGCCGTCCGCGAATCTGAGGGTAAACCTGGATTCAACGCTAAAGACGACTCGATTCCAGTCTCTCTGGGTGCATCGGAGGTGACGTTGGGCCCACAGCAGACGTTGACGTTGATGAAACGGCGTCAATATTGGCCCACGATATGGACGTCGAGAATGGAGATTGGCAGCCCGCAACCGATTTCGAATGGTCTGTGAGGACAGTCGACCTCTAAACATCTCAGGCCTGGTTCGTGTAGCCGGCAGAAATCTGTCACGTAGGTGACGTAGGACGATTTGACGGTCTTCTGCTCGTGACGTCACACGTGGACGACCCGACCTTGGGCGATCAGAAGTGGTGCCAGTTTGTTGTAGACGACCTCGAAAGTCATACACAGTACGACGGCTGCATCCCATTGCTCTTGCGACGTCAATAACTGATCTTCCCGCTTGCAACATGCCAACGGCACGTTCACGTTGCACATTTGACAATCGTGGCATTTCAAGTACCGTTAGAACTGTGGTTTAAAAGTGTTTTTTAAATTCTTGAGGCCAATGCAAACACGTGCATATGAAGAAAACTTAGATGCGAAGATCACGTGATCGACTGCACGTGCAAAACCTGATTTGGCACTAACGTCATTTGCACGACGAATGGATGGGTTTGAGTGGGTTTTGCTAACGTTTTTCTAGAGTCGACAGATAGGGATCCCATTTCGGATACTTAGATGTATCATCAGAGAAAATTTATTCATTATTTTTCAAATTACATTTTGTGAAGTTTCTTTTTTGACTCAGTATATATTTTCAGGAGTTTAACAAAGACCAATTCTGGTTATACACTGAGGGGCAAAAGAAACGATACCTTATTATTGAGGCTAATTAATAAAAGATGACAAAAGATAAACAGAAAATCAATGTTGTAATTAGAAGACAAATAGGTGAGGAACATGGAAAATCAAATTCATTAATCGAGGCCAATAATTGTTTGAGGTAATTGCAAAAAAACCCATAATATTCATATGTCCTGTATTCGATCACTCCAATAAGATGAGATACGTCAATGTCTGTGACACAGAGACACTCCTGTGAGTCACTATCGAGTGTGGTCACCACCGGCATCGATGCAGGCTCTAACACGACGTCGAACAGATGAGGTCAGTCGTATGATCACGTGAGGAGGTATCCTGTTCCACTCCTCCCTCAAAGCCTGGATAAGGGTTTGTCTGTCCACTGTGGCGACCTGTCTGGGACGAATCTTAGAATCAAATGATAGCCCGCAGTGTGTTTTGGGTCGTTATCGTGTTGGAGAATCCAATTATCTTCATACAGTGTTCGGGCCGTTGGAAGGAGGTGATCATTTAAGATATCAGCATATCGTTCCTTCGTCAAATTTCCAGTGAAAATACACAACGGCTTCCCTCCACGTGATGATATCCCACCCCACATGTGAAATTTCGGGCTGTATGTTTGGGCGTTGGTAGATAGGTATCACGGTATCCTTTGTCCAGATTTTCATACAGTTCGGAAAAAGCCAAACAGAACTTTCATCAGAAAAGAAAACATTATCCCAATCTTGATTTTCGTGAGCCCTACACCACTTTAAACGTCTTTCTTTTTGTGCATCTTTCAATGGTGAGGGAATTCCGCGCTTTTTCACCCAGATACGTCTTTGTAAGTTGTGTGTAAAGGTTTCATTACATATCTGTGGGCTTCCTCTAAAATTCATCTCATTTCTGATATTCTAAACGCTTTTCCATTTTCCCATTCTCACAATATGCCGGCGATCCGTACTACTGAATTTCCTTGATTGGCCTCCCTGCCCCTGCCTTGTGCTCAATCCAAACTCCTGTCTCAATCTCCTTCAAAGTTCTGTACTGCAGTATACTGTAGACAGAAGAATGTCATGTCTACCAGCTAGCCTTTTTGCATTAGTCACACCCCTTTCAAAATCATCTAGAACCACCTTTCTTTTCACTTCTGCTGTTAAATCTGCCATGTCAACAAAGGAAGCCGTCTGCTATACCAGGGGAGATAACTCTTGGTGTAGTAAGGTTCATTCTTAAGTCTACAAGAGTTGCCTCCCATATCGCGTACCTTACTACATAATGTAACACCTATTTAAAAATACTATACTTAGTTCCAAAAGAAACGCGACATTCATGTTTGCTTTTGAAATTTCCATAATTGTCTTATCTACTTTACAATCAGAACGAATGTGCATGTTAAATGTTCTTTTTTTAAACCAACTTCTGAAACAAGGCTTTTAACGTCAGATAAGCCGTAACAACCGAATCTAATTATTGAACATTTTTATGGGGAAAAACAACAGAAACGCATCACATAAACGCATGCCCTGACGCGTTGTGCACGTGAATTTAATAATACGACAGTTTCTTCAAGAAAAATGAGAGAAAGAACCCTTTAAAAGATGCGACGGCAGTTTCTGTTGTGTTCTTTTTTTGAATGGTTTAGAGAACAATATGCCACGTCTGAGCAATGAAGCGCGTCTACGTGCTCCTGGGATGATTGATGCTGGTTCCAGTGTTTTCAACGTTGCACAACATTTGGGAGCACATCTGACGACAATTTACCGACTGATTGAACGCGGTGAGAGATCGACCTTGAGATGGCAGGCCACGAGTGATGTCACACAGGCAAGACCGTTACATCGTAACGTCACATCTTCGCAACCGTTTTCTTCCAGCTACTGTTACAGCCCGTCAGACAATTGGGATTCACAACAGACCAATTTCAGGAAACACTGTGCGTCGACGTTTGAGAGCACACCGGCTACACTGTAGGAGACCCAATGTTGGACCGATTTTGACGCCACGGCACCGTCATCTGCGCTTAGCATGGGCTCGCCAACATCAGCATTGGAGATATGCACAGTGACAGAACGTTGTTTTCTCAGACGAGAGTCGATTTGTGTCCACGTTGAAGAGGGGAGAGTGAGAGAATGGCGTCGACGAAATGAACGTTTCAGAGACCCATGTGTTCTGGAAAGTGACCGCTGTGGTGGGCCATCCCTTATGATGTGGGGTGGAATAAGCTGGGGAAGGCATGTTCCACCTGTAATCTTCAAAACAACGGTCAAGGTCGTGGAAGGGGTGTAACTGCACGACGCTACATTGACGACATTGTCTTAAGGCCTGTTGTCATCCCGTTCTTTAGACCCAGACCACAGTTGCAGTTCCAACACGATAATGCCCGCGCCCACACCGTCATTATCACAGGACAATTCATGGCCAATCACCACATCCAGACAATGGAGTTGGACCGACGCCTTCCTCCAAGTCCAGTTCCTGCACAAAATCGGCGGCAGTTGGAGAATGCAGTGTTGAATGAGTACAATAACATTCCCAGTGCTTTCATTCGACGTTCGTTCATGTCCATGGGAAGACGGTGTACTCATGTGATAAACAATAATGGTGGTCATACTAGGTACTGATAACATCGAATATCAGCTTAAGCTTCTAAACGTGTCTAGTGCAGATTCTTCAGGTTGGACACAATAAAAATTACATCAGATCTTAAATCCACTGCCGTTTCTGTTGTCTTTTATCTTTCTTTGGTGCGATCTGTGTAAACCATATAGTGGCAGGAAGCATGTATGGGGGATAACAGTACTTATTTCAAATGGACATGTTGCGTTTCTTTTGGAACTAAGTATATTATCATTAATTACATTTACAACAATAGCCATAAAGTCTGATGCACACTTAACTTATGAATGTTCAGAATAGATAGAAAACATGTAACTTCTAGAGATGGAAATAAAAAAAATTATGAAAAAAAATTAATAGGAAACAAAAGATTTCTCAGTAATTTCTGGGAAAACTTTATGCATCCTTTCAGCTTCACCAGATGAGGCTGTCTGTGCATAGAAGATGCTGAAGATAAACACCAAGCATCACATATTCCCATTTTGAGCTGATGAAAAATATTCAGAATTTGTCCTATTCAAGCCATACTTTAATTCTTCTGCACATCTAAAATGTCTTCCAGCAAAGACCAACTAACCAAAACCTCTACCGCTTTCAGAGCAATGAAGTGTTTAAGTGAGTAAGTATAGTTTTATGCTGCTTTAAGCAATATTCCAGCAATATCTGGAGAATCGAACCCAGGTCTTCAATGTTACGAGTGGACGCTTTAACCACCCCACCGCCCCAGAGCAAAGAGGCATGAGCACAGTGTGTGAGTGAGGGATATGAGACATTCCACACTACTCAAAGATTGGTTTGGTTGGTTTCTTGTTGAACTCAGCAATATTCCAGCTATAATCTAGTCTGGACCAGACAATCCAGTCATCAACAGCATGAGCATCTATCTACGCAATTGGGATACAATGACGTGTCAACCAAGTCAGCGAGCCTGACCATCCGATCAAGTTAGTCGCCTCTTCCAACAAGCATGGGTTACTGAAGACCAATTCTAACCTGGATCTTCACAGGTCTAACATGAAGGAGACAACAACAGAACACTTTCACAATATGTACAAAATGTTTAATAAAATGAGCATAAATAAGACAATAATTGAAATAACTTACAATGTTTACATCAACAAGTTGATTTTAGATATCTTTTAGATCTATGACCATAAATCTGAGAGCTTGTCTGACTTTATTTAAGTGAATTCACAGTTATTTAAAGTACAAAATGTCACAATGAGGATGCATGATAATACCCCCATCCCCTCCATTTAGTTTTATAACACTAACAGTAAAAGAGAAAAGATAGCTTTAAAGCAGTGTGTGAAAATCTAGTCCCAAATATGCTTAAACTTAAGATGGCTAGTCCAATGGTTAATACAATTTTTGTGGTTTGGCACAGTGAAATATGTTACTGAATTCTTGACTTATTCTACTCAATTCATGTTTCATGAGCTATTGTATGAAAGAAAGACTTACTCCAATGCATTGGTACCACTTTTGGCAGCACAACTGATTTGAGGTATTGAACATTTACATGTTTTCAATCAAGTTCATAATGTACTGGCATATCAGTTTAACAGTTTAACAATCTACACTGAGGCTATGTCTCTGTTTCACAAACAGGCCTAATACAGTGTCTAGACCTACACTTTTAAGGTCTCCAGACAGTTAAATAGTCGCCAGTCAAGGTGGAGACTCAAGCACTCTTGACCTGTAAGATTATTCATAAGAAACATGCTTTCGGATCAGTTCACTTTCTGAGATACTGTCATAAAATGAGCTGAAGATTGTTTCCTTCAAATATGGTCGCAAAGAAGGAAAATGGTGAGTAATCCATACAAATTGACCCAATACCATGTCTCAAGTTGCAGAATCAATAAGCAATAGCAGTTTGACTAGTACTACTATCGCTGAATTTCACACACTGCCTTGAATTATATTTAATATTTACAAACAGCCACACATCTTCATAAACCAATGGATCAGTGACGTATCTGCTACATTATGCACAGTTTACACATTTCCCATGTCTGTGAGATACAGATGTTTTTTCTTCCTTGGTATATCAGGTGTAAGTTTTTGTTCCAGCTGAAATTAGTGAAAGTGGGATAGGAGGGGCCTGCACATTGACGACATGCTCCATTTTTACCAAACAGCAGTATAAAATACCACAGTATATAGAAAATGGGGAATAATGATAATCATTACATATTCATGTAAAAAACATGGGACTCATATGGAAGTCATGTGACACCCACCATAGGCAATGATGAAAAACAGCTAAAATTTGTTCGTCTTAGTAACAAAAACTGACCTTAAGCAAATCTGATTGGACTAGTGCATTTCAGTGTTGTTTAAAGTTTGTATATTAAACTGATAATTGAGCCAAAATCTGTTTTCTGATGACTCAGTTTAAAACCTCACAAAGATTAACCGTTTACATGGCAAATGATTCTGCCAACAAGTTTAACAGACTGCAAATGTAAAGCATCTAGTGACAGAGATCGGTACAGCCATACGCAATGACTGGGATACAGCTATGCTGTATGACATGCTTAACCACATTGACAATATTCTGGACAAGTCTGTACAAGCTCGCTTTCATATTTACAAAGTGACAATCAGTAACAAATGTAGTTCGCTGGCTCCTATTTAGCTGACTGGGGAATCTGTGGTAAACCAAATTCGTCAACAGGTACGTCTCCCTGGAATTCAGAAAAAATTGTTGCCGTCACATACAAGTTCAACATATGTTATATTTGGGATTACACTTTAACATATAACATATGTTACATTTGACCAGTTTCTAAAATGGCATTGTGCATTTCACACATGCAAGTTGAATGGACTTGTGCAAATACTTCCAAATCGGCATTTCCAAAACACTGCAAAATCGAAACTAAATAAAGAATACTCTGGTACCAAAGTTTTACTTCAAGACAGCCTAAGTTCCACACATCAAGTTCGACACAACAGTGTTTAATTGCATATTCACACAAATCTTTCCTTCAGTAAAGTAAAGTAATGTAAGGGAGGTAACTCTTGAATGGAACAAATTCCAGTTCAAGCAGGGAAACTGAAGAATAATTGTGTATCTGGCAGGCCTGCAATGCTGTACTGTAAACTGTGGTGCCTCAGACTTGGTCAGTAATACCCTCTGTCCATCATACACAATATTTGGGTGAAATGGAGGTAAGTGTCACATTTAAGATTGTTGTTTTCATAAGCGACTGCACGCAAATATGGGTACTTGTTTGAATGGGTCAAAGGGTATTGATGGAAACAGATGCAGTGAGTGAGTTAGTTAGTTTTATGCACTCAGAAATATTCCAGCTGTATGGCAGCGGTCTCTAAATAATCAAGTCTGGACAGACATTCCAATGATCAACAGCATGAAGCATCGATCTATGCAATTAGGATATGATGACATGTGTCAACCACGTCAATAAGCCTGACCACTCGATCCCGTTAGTCGCTTCTTACGACAAGCATGAGCTACTGAAGATTAATTCTAACCTGGATCTTCACGGATTGAAACAGAAGGAAGATATACCAGACTGCATGTTTGAGAATGGTTTGGGCACAGTAAGGCAAACGCCATGTTCAGTAATAGTAATACCTACCCTCATACTGTCTGCTCCAGGCTCTCCTGTAGGTGCTGATGGTGCACTGACTGCATCATCAAGATAGGAAGCATCCTCATCCAAGCCAATCTCGACACCCAGGGCATCAAGCTCCGCCTCCAGCTCATCATCATCCACCTCTGGCATGCCATAACTCCTTCCCATGATCTCCTGAACCTCATTGGACTGATCCATCAGGTCTTCCATCTCATCTTGCAAGTCCTAAAACATTTCTCCATTGATATAGGTACATGTCTGTAAAACTAACGTCAAGGCTCTGTCACTTACCAGGTGGTTTCAAGTTCAAAGTTACATTCTGTGAAAAGTGACAATTGCCGTTAGCCACCAAGCAATGAAGTAGTCTGTTAATTTGAGGGAAAACGGGGTCTGGTATTCTATTTTCTAAATGTCCTTATAATCCATCCTTATAATCCTGCCAGGTAAAGAATTACATTGTTGATATAAAACATGTTTCAACCAAGTTCTGTAGGTTTGTTTTGTGCCAGATACTGACAATAAACAGAACTGTTTCACTGGGGTTCATCACAAGTACACATATAATATACAATTTTGTAAAATGTTTGATCAAACGCTCAACAACAGTAAATTTTGCCTTATTCTTTAATGGAAACATTTTCTTACCTCAATCTTTCCAATATCCATCGTCTTGTATTCTTTTTTAAACTGTTTAACTCCAACTTTCATGGCATCAACCTGTTGAACAAATATATACATTAAATCTACTATTTAACGTGTCATACTGTCAATATCATTGCAACCATATAGCCTGACTGTTCTAAACCATACACAAACAACATTCTTCTATACACCATACAAGAGTGAGTGAGGAAGTGGGTGAGTTAAGTTTTAACTGACAGCATGTCAACTTAACCAAGCAAGTGAGCTTAGTTTTACCGAGCTATCAGCAATATTCCAGCAATAACAGGAGCTGCTGTATATCATCAAAAAAGATGGCACTCAAGATGGAGCTTCCACTTTTCAAAGCAAGAGGTGTGAGATTCAGCCAAGTACAAAAGGCAAAAACTCTTTGTGTCATTATTTTCTCTGCTTTGAATCTGGGGAAACACATGTGAACTCGGTCTGCTTGTGTGCGTACTACCATCAACACAACATCAGCTTTATATGCAAGTATCTAGACAGGAAACCTGAACTCCTATCAACTAATGAACTAATCATTAAAAATTCTTGCTGAAATCTCATTTGTTCACTAAAGCCTACAAAGACTAATCAGTGCCCTAGATTCAAAGCACTTTTGAGCAGCAATTAATTGCTGGATACAAGCGCAGTATAAGTGTATCGACCAACTGACCAGCTGACTGATGAGTGAGTGAGTGAGTGAGTATGGTTTAACGTGGCATTTAGCAATATTCCAGCAACATCACGGCGGGGGACACCAGAAATGGGCTTCACACATTGTACCCATGTGGGGAATCGAACCCAGGTCTTCGGCATGACGAGCAAACGCTTTAACCACTAGGCTACCCCACCGTCCCCAGTTTCACTGATGACATAAGGCTGATTCAGATAGCATTCAAACATCAGGGTTCTGATAAACAATGAGACAAGGACACACACACAGTCTTCATCTTAATCAGCCTGTACTGGAGCAACAGGTATAATACAGGTATATTTATGGTCCGATTTTCAAAAGGAAAAGTGATCTGAAATCAGTAGAATGCCAGCTATCAGACAATGTTATTTATAATCAGTTATCTGTAATATGAAAAATTCATGTGGTATAGCTAATAGTATTATGGATCCAAATTTCACAAAACCCTTTGTGAGGCAAGCATACCACCCCCGACATGCAAAGAGGCAAGGGGTATTGTAGAAATGTACAAGATTACTCAGAAATAACAGTCTGCCTGAAAATGCAATTTTCTGATTAAAATTGATATTTTATACTTATCCTGGCTCATGCTAAATGCTTGTCTCCTTCTTCTTGCGAATGATAGTGGAACACTTGAAATCCCTTGAAGTTCCCTTCTTAAAAAAGCGGACGTAAAATCATCACTCACCCACGAGTTGCCTCCCTTGCCCCTTTGGCGCCCTTTTCAGTCACCTGACTGGCTATGCTTGTCACTCTCTCCTGAATGTTACTTTCGCCCGACACCCGGATTTACAGGGAAATCCAGAGTGCCTTGAGAGGGGAGGTTGGGAGGGCTGACCTCATGAGTCAGGATAAGTATAAAATATCAATTTTAATCAGAAAATTACATATTTTTCCTTATCCTGACTCATGCTAAATGCTTGCAGAATCCGTCGGAAACGGTGGTGGGTCAAGCCACTTCCTGGATTCACTGGCTGCTGTTTTACGTCCTGTATTACCCCCCCATGGGAACTTATGACGGCACTGCTGATGACTTTCTTCCAACTCCCATCTGATGAGTCTGGGGGGGACCACAACTTGTCAGATTTCCTCCAAACTTTTCCTCACATTTTTGTGTGGATTTTAGATATACTAATGTCCCATTAGTTATCTATTGCAACTCCATCTCTTGATGCGTGCATCAAGTGGAGATGCGACCCTTCATCATGTACAGTCCTATACAAGTACAGGGTCTATCACTCATGCTAGTCTGTCCTAGACGTGTGCATGGACTTAACCATTTGCTCTCCAGAGTGTTGGTTTTCACAAGTCGCGATAAAAGGAACCATTAGTTGTTGTGCTACAACAAGTGGCCCAAACTGGTGACTGCCTGAGACGTCTTCGGTGGCAATGTCTCTGAGGTAGTGGTTGGCAAACACCGTGTCTGATTTCCAAAAGCATTATACTTGTAATTGAGCAGTTTCCATGCAGAGCAAGTGTTGATGCCAGGGCTCTGACTTCATGTGGATTGGAGGCTCGTGGAGGCTCAAGTCCTGCTGCTTTATAGGCCCTTAGTATGACGGCTCTCATCCATACTGATATAGTTGTCCGTGAGACTTCCGTGGGTGTCTCAGTTGATAAGGGGATGAAAAGGCGCTTGAATTTTCGTCTCCTAGTCTTTGTCCTTTCTAGGTAGACTTTCTGACGGACGAACGAGATGTCGGAGCTGAGGAAGATGTATCATCTTGAATTTTGCGAAGATACTCCTGGTTGAACTTCCTCATGTTGTAGATGAGCCGAAACTTCTCCTTGGAATTCTTTTCCGGTACCAGGAAAATTGGGGAGTAAAACCCGGGCCTGATGTGGTCTTGATGTATCTCTTCAACTGCATCTTTGTCGAGCAGAGTTTTGATTGCGTCGTCCAGTTTGTCTATCTGGTTGGCTGCGTAGGTGAAGGCCAGCGAGTTGCTTGTAAGTGGTGAAGTGGCTTCCAATTCCATCTCGTACCCTCTGCGTAGTATCTGTGATACGTAGTCATCCTGTAGTATTCCCCAATTCTCCCAGTATGAATGCAGATGTCCACCCACTGTCGAAGATTGTACGGGAACGGCTGGGGGTGGAAGACTCCAGTCGTTCCAAACCTGTCCTTCAGCGCTTGAATCCCCTGGCACCTCTGGGTGCTCGGCCTCTTCCAGGGTTGCCTCTGGGAGGTCCGGTTGGGTGACGAAAAGAACTTCTTCCTCCTCTAAGGTTGGAGTATTTCTTTTCTTTGGCTTTCTGGATTCCAGCAAACTTAGACTTGTTGGAGTAGCGCTGGTACGTCTGGCTGATCACATTTGCCAAGGTGTCTATTGACTTTATCATCATGACCTCCCTTGATTCGCGTGTAACGTCTTTAGCAACTTCTTCGATTCCTCCTCCGAGGACGGATGATGCTGACCATGGGGGTGAGGTGAGGTGAAATTGGGTTTTACCTCGTGCTTGAGAATATTTCGCTCATATGACGACGTGCATGCGTGTGTATGTGTAGGTGCGGCTGCTTGTACTAGCCCAGACTGAAGCTGGTTTTATAGTGCTAGCCCACTGAGATACCATGCCGCAGTGAAGCATGAATACCCCACTCAGACACATTATACTGACTCCGAGCCGACCAGTCCTTGTTGTACCCATTAATGCCGAGCGCTAGGCAGGGACCAACAAGTACCATATTTTAACGTCTTTTGGTATGATGCGGTCGGGGATCGAACCCGCGACCTTCTGCTCTCCGGGCGAACGCTCTAACCACTACACCACGGAGGCGGTCCTGACCATGGGGCTCTGTATAAGGACTTGGTGAACCGTTCACTCCAGGTGCACGATGACAGTAGTCCTTGCCTCCTCAGAAGAGTGAGGCCCGCTGACGTGGACGCTAGATGCTCCGACATAAACTGGTGGTCTTTTTTCTGAGTCAGTAGAGCAGAATATATCATCCGGTCCTCACTGTCGGTGGAGTTCTTGAATTTAGAGATGAGTGCTTCATTAATAGCCCTAGACCTGGCTAGTACGAAGAAAGTATGTCTAGTAGTCGTGTCTAGTTGCACTAGCTTCTTATCCTCTATCTTATAAGTTCTATAACGGGAGTCGTTGATGATTTTGTAGTCCTCATCAATCTCTGGTGCCTTCAGGAATGGTTCCACGTGATGTAGGGGGAATTCCTTGGCACTGAACCTCGGGATGTGTTGACTCTGAAACTTGGTAGCTTTATCAAAGGCTGCTCTGAGATTATCCGGTACTTTGGAAATCGGGTCGATCGGTGGGAAGGTGAGAGTGTCGAACTCTTCGTTGGACATCTCGTATGAATAAGCCTCATCTGTGTCCTTGGATGGTGATGCTAGGTCCAGACCATTTGCAATCCATGAGGTTACATCCGCATCGGAGAATATGACTTCACCTTCATCCTCAGATTTCGACATCTCCCAATCCGTGGCGACGTGAGTCTCTATATGTAGATCTGTACGTAGAGCTGCGCGCAGGTGAACGATCCCGATGAGAAAGAGTATCTCTCCTGGAGTCTTGTGATATTTCTCTAGACCTTCGCGAAGGTTGATTAGTCGAAGTCTCTCTGTGAGATGTGGAGCGCCTGCGTGAAGGTTCCTGACGTGAGTCTGAGTCCGATGGAGATGACGATCCATATCTACTGTAGAGTTCTGGAGAATGCTTCGATCTACTTCTGCGTGGAGGACTCTTAGAGTTTGCTTCAGGGACGTCTAAAGCTGAGCTGACATTGGTAGCGTTTTCCAAGCTCCTCTCTTCAGACGGGGAAGATTGTCGGGTGCGTGAACCTTCACCCAGGTTCGTCTCTTCTTCCAGATGCGTTGGAGTGGCAACTGATCCTTCACGCAGGCTTGTAGTCACGCCAGAGGTCTTCGTAGTAGCCTTCTCCTGCGCGAAGCTACATTCCATCATCAACATGATCTGTTCCGAAAATTGTTGCATAAACAGCCTCGAGTTGAGACGTAAGTTGAGACTGCTGTAGGGTTGATGATACTTCGGAAAGCGATGAAGCCTCTTCTAAGTTACGCTGCGCTTGAGAAGAGTTGACGCTGCTGCTATCTCTAGTCCCCGATGTCTGCGTTGATAGAAAGTCTTCTGTCAATGTCTGTGCTGACATGGTTGCCGATGTCTCTGTAGAAGCAGGCCTCGTCTTCTTGGAGACGACTGTGACTTCAGGTATGAGGATGGGGGATCATCATACACATCTACTTCCGCTGGAGGTACAATCTCGGCAGAAAAAGATCTCGTTTTCTGTGTAGAACTGTGTAGAGCCTTCGACCAAATCTTAGGGGTAGGAGCTCTCTTTTTCTGCATTGAAGCCGCCCTAGAAGACGTCAGCTCTAATGCTCAATGACACTTTTCTGTGAGCCAGAGTTCATCACTGGAACAGCGACCTGCCCTCGTACGCTCGGCGATTCACTAGAAGAATGAATATCAGCAATAACATTCAACACACGGTTATCAGCGCAATCACTTGATTTACCAGACATGACTTGTGAATACCTTCTAACCAAGTCCTTTGCACGTCTATGAATGGAATAAAGGTAATTATTAAATTCAAAGGTGGTTAATTCCTAACAATGTTAACAGTGGGAGCTGGAAGAACCGGATATAGTGCAATCAGGACATAATAAATGGGGATCAGCCACAGACAGCCAGTACCTACAACGAATACAAATTTTCATCAAATGTAAACACGATGAAAATCAAGTACAAACAACGTAAATTTTAGACAAAATTCCAAACCATATTATAAGTATTCTAATCCAAAACCGTATACAGCTGAATTTAGGATGTAATAGGTCCAAAAAGAAAAGGAAATGTGCTGTATAGGGACCCAGGTGCTCTCACAACCGTCCTCAAGGGCGAAGAAGGAGAGAGTGAAAGCATGGCCAGTCAGGTAACTGAAAAGGGCGCCAAAGGGGCAAGGGAGGCAACTCATGGGTGAGTGATGAATTTACGTCCGCTTGTTTAGAAGGGAACTTCAAGGGATTTCAAGTGTTCCACTATCATTCGCAAGAAGAAGGAGACAAGCATTTAGCATGAGTCAGGATAAGGAAAAATCTGACTTTTACTTACTGCTGTTTTGAGGCTGTCCTGTTTTGAGACTGACTACAACTTATTGTTATTTTAAGCCTGACTACAACATATTGTTGTTTTGACTCTATCTTCTACCTACTGTTGTTTTGGTGTCCTTCATGGTCTGGATAGCAAAGTTCTGTTGTTCCAGGTTGAAGGACTGCTGCATCAGCTGGTCACGCTGACTTTCATACCTGGCAAGGAAACATGGTAATAAGTATTTATCCAGATCAAAGATATGTGTGTTTGTTGTTAAACACAGCAGTCAGAAATATTCCAGCTATACGAAGTCAGTCTGTAAATAATCGAGTCGGGACCAGACAATTGAGTGATTGATATCATGAGCACTGATCTATGCATTTGGGATATGATGACATGCATCAACCAAGTCTGTGAGCCTGACCCCTCCAATCCCATTATCATCTCTTAAGACTAGTGTTGGGAATTAGTTAAAATCTCATAATTGATGATTGCTTCATTACAACCGATCAATCATCGAAAATAATTGGTTAGTGTTATTTATGAAATTTGTTAATGCACACAAAAAATAAGGAACAAACATGTAGTTCTTTGGGATTTTTTGGGCAAAATTTCACATCTTTAAAGGATGACAAGTATGTTACGAACATAAATTTCTTGGAGTCTTGAAGATAAATTCAATCATGACTTGGAACGAGTTTGTAGTGCTTATGAAATGTAACAGACAAAACCAGCCTTGTGAAATATTTTGTTCATGAAAACAAGTGTTCCAGAATTGTTTGTGTTCGATTATGAGAAAACATGATCGATTGCTTGGTCGTTTAGTCACTGCGACCAATCTTCCGATTATTTCAATTAATCGGACCACCACTACTTACGACAAGCATGGGTTGATGAAGATAAATTCTAACCCGGATCTTCATGGGTCATGACTCAACATCAAAACTAGGATACTGAATAACATTAACTGAAAAATTCATGGCAAAAGAGTATACATGTCTCCCACATATTCAAAATGTCTCAATGAGCGAAAATCAAAGGTGGAAAGACCCAAACATGTCACCAACCAAGTCGCATGTCCCTTTTAGCACCAGTGAAATAATTACCACAACACCTTGATTGATTATCTCACAGACAACAGCAGATGGACCATGGGGATTGTTAAACCCACAACAGTAAAATCAGAACAACCATGTAGGCCTCATTTCAGCATATGCAACAACTTGAGTGAGAGTACAGTGACCACCTTTAATGTGAGACAACAGACAGTCATTCTTCCCCTGCTAGTAACCTGTGAAGATCCGTGTTAGAATTGGTCTTCAGGAGCCCATGCTTATTGTAAGAGGCGACTAACGGCAGGGGTGGAAATAACTTTAAAATTGCTAGTGTACTCCAGAACAGTGGCACATGGAAAATCACTTGCCCTGATAACTTTTCCACTATACCGGACGTTTTCTTGTTGACTTTTTTAAATAAACATCATAATTAACATTGAAAAGTCAACTGGACACCCGTACAGTGTGATGTACAAATTTGCTTGCCCGACAGAAAAAAACACTGGACTCGGACTTCGGCAATGGGTTATTTCCACCCCTGTAACGGGATTGGGCAGTCAGGCTAGCTGACTTGGCTGACACTTGTCATTGTATCCCAATTGCCTAGATCGATGCTCATGATGTTGATCACTGGATTGTCTGGTCCAGACTCGATTATTTACAGCCCGCCGCCATACAGCTGGAATATTGCTGAGTGCAGTGTTAAACAAAACCAAAGCCATGATAGCATATTCAGCTGATGGTGTTGTCATGATTACTCACTATAGTGTGCATGTTACCCCAAAATGTGTCTTCAATTAAAGTAGCTCTCGCTGCAACTGACAGAGCAGGCTGTTGACTTCAGTCACTGAGTGCATAAGTTGGACCAGAAGTCTGATGTACCAAAGTCTGTTATCATCATCTGTTCAATAAATCATGTTGATACACAAATAGACTTACATCTTTTTCTGTTTCAGCACCCTCATTGCCTTCTGTTTAACCATATTCTGCAAAGAAAAATAACAGTCAAACATAAACAACATGAATTCATGAAAAGGTATTATTGTTCATTGTTTAATGCTGTACAATATTCAACCAAGTCAGTAAACCTGACCATCCAATTCCATTAGTGGCCTCTTACTCATAAAAAGATACAACCACAACCATGCACAGTGACGACAATGTTCACCAGATGTTGTTTTACTTTTTTACAGTACTGGAAAGTAGCTGACCTCTTAAGTCATACTATCTTCCCTGATCCACCAAATAAAGATGAAATAGACTGTATGCTTCAACTTATGAACAAGGAGTTGGGTTTATGTGATGTGGTCATATATATGGGTTTCAACAAACAGGTCAACATCTGAGACCTGCATCACTTTGGGCTTTCTTTCCACATTCAGCTGGCATGCTAAAATATAAACATGACAAAAAGAATATTGTTCAAAGGTGGGTTAAAGGGCCACTGATCCAGAGCAATTTCCGTGGACTGGTTGTTGCTTTTGTTATTGTTTTTTCTCCAGTGAGTACCCGGATGATATCCCAGAATTCATGACAGGTTCGTTACCTCTGCTGCGCCACCCTCATGCGCAATTGATAGTATAAGTATAGACTGATCAACAAAGATGAAATCTTTTTTACTGGATAATCTTATGTTGAGTTTGTTGTAAAATTATGTAGACTTTGATGAATAATTTGGTTTCTTATACAAAAATATTCACTTTGATAAAAAATGCTGATTTTGATGTAAATTTGATTTCATAGTAATGATGACTTTATAAATATGTTAACGTAAATGGATGTAGAATTTGATTTAAGAAATAGTTTGACCTTGAATTTGGTGAGAAGCCTGATACAATAGCATTGTTTTGAAAGTAAGGCTAACTAAGTTCATGGGGAGTCTTGGGGAGAGTAGTGAGCTTGGGTTCACTACTAGTCAATCTGAATGTTGTATTAAATGGCATTATTTTGATAACAAATGAAAACATTTTCAGTTTAACCATCTGCCAGTGGTAAAAAGTGTTAGGACTGAAATAACGAGGTCAATGTACGGCTTTATATTTTGTCTTATAATCCTAATTAGTTTATTATCATATTTGTATGCATTTTGAAACTTAATAAAATGCACATGATCTGCTTATACTTAGTGAATTTATAACATGATTGTAATATCTCGACATTTTATAGATTGCCAACGTGTATGTCACACACACGCCCTGAGTGTATGTTGTCTGTCTCATTAAACTTCACGGCAAAAAAAAAAATGATTCTGTTGAATGCCATAACAAATAAATAAAAAAAAAATGCAAATATTAAAATTAAAACAGACTAAAGTTATATAGCAACAATATCTGGCTATTACCTTGTTCGGGGAATGTATCCATCAATCCATCAATATCCACATAAAGGAATGAGATGCCATTCATCTGCAGCTGGCAAAGTATACTGTTCCATGTCATGTGTCTCTTAACAGTCTAATATGCGAAAGAGTGATCTATCGTTTCAGGTTTTTCACATTGGTGTATAATCCCATTGGTCACCCAAGATAGCACACCTGGCAACTAATTGCATGATGTCCACAATTCTTTAAAAAAGTAATTTAGTTAACCAATAATGAGCAATCAATCAATGTATTGGCGGTTAATCCTTTGAAGGAAGGACGTTGTTTTTACAAAGAGACTTTACGACAGGGTGTATTCAGTATAGATTAGTAAATCTACATCCATAAACACTACCTTTTGACAAATCCGCTGTGCTGGATAAAAGCAATTAATCAATCAGCGTGTTATCTGTTAATCCTTTGATCGATGTTTGTTTTGTAACTCAGCTGATAATTCCTCTTACTGCACTTCCATGCGCATATTACATAAGATGTAATACATTTGCCACATCAGACCTCAATTTATAATGATGAGTATTTACTCCAGACACAAGAAATGCCAAATGGGAACCTTTGTCGGGTAATCTGAGTGGTGTTATCACTAATTATACCTGTTATAAATTCATTAACTGACCATCAAGTGAATGATGACAAATAACATGTGTAGGTTTACCACCAAACAAGGGTTACAGCAAGAGAGTAGTAATCGCTGTATTGCATGCAAGTTTGATTGCCTGAAGAAAAACTTATGGGCAGACACTGTTTTGAGGATACGAACGGAACTTCATTGTTACATAAGAAATATATATAAGCATTTGCTCTGTACTTAGTTAAAAACTGTATATACCTATGTACCTAAGTAAAATTTCAGATTTATTTTGCAATGGCAAAGTGGGGTTGTTTAGTTTATGGATTCAAATATATCAAATGTGTTATTGATATCATAGCATACGTAATAGACATCATATTTTTACATGATTAAATATTGAGGTAAAAAACACAGAAATAGGATCAAATTGGATTAGTCACTATACCATTCAAACATTTGAAAATCTGAAAAAGCCTACACTGCTGGGATACTTTATTACAAATAGACAAGAACTACAGGGGATACTGTCAAATAACGGCATCTGATGGGCATCCACCCTTCCTAATGTCCCACTGATTACGTTGAAGAAATTCTGCCAGGGTGGACAGTAGCCCAGTCCCTGTGTCCGTCACAGTCGAGCAAGTGGGGGCTGACCAGTTTGCAGCTAGGTTTCATAATTAGACTGTTGGCTGGAAACAATAATTGCTCTGGATCAGTGGCCCTTTAAACCTAGTCGACAGCCGCGATGCAGGGTCATGTCTTCACTGTATATGACTACATCCCAATAACGATCATTCTTAATACCTTTGATGGACCATCTCTCATCTTTTTCATCTGATTCCTGTATTTGTTCAATTCTTGATCTAGCCGACCTATTTTCTTATCTACCGAATCTCCTCGACTGTCAATCTGAAAAAGGAAATCACAAATATTTGTCAAGATCCGGACATAAGAATGATAAGGCACATGATTTCGTAATCGATGGTATTGTAAATCGTTATTACATTATAAAAATCTTTATTATCTTGGAAATTCCCGTGACTGACATGAACACCCCATGCCTACCCACAGACAGCAGTGGGACACTAAGGCTAATGGTATCTTAGCGAGAATAGGATGGCAATATTGGACTGTCCGTTTTCGTGGGCCCACAACGCTTCTGGGATAGAGTTCCTTACGTACCCCCGCCTATTTTATAAGATACTTTTCATTACTTGTATATCTTTGTATTATTTTTTTTTAAATTAGGTGGGGGTTACGCAAGTAAGTCTTACCCGCTTCTGATATTTATAACCAAGTCACTTGTCTTGCGTACATAATATCAAACACTGACTCTTGTCGTTATACTTACATTTGAAATGCAGTCATTGAGATTCGGCGCAGGTTCCTTCGGTTTTCCCTTTCCAAATAAGCGATTCATGTTGAAATGAAGAGAGGTTTGACACTCTTTCCGTAAAGATGTCAACACCAACAATGGCGTCCACAGGTACTTCCTGTTCAGGGAGCAGTTATTATATTTGTGGTATATCAAACTGATACTTCATAAAACATTCACAAAATGGGCTGTTTTAGACACACACTACTGTATAATAATATACTTTTACAATCAAGACTAGTGTTAAGTGATTACACATATAATATACTGTCTAGACAAGTTTATTGCGGCAGTTGCAAAGATTACTCCATGTCGATGCTCATGTGATTCTGGGTCATTTCGATCAGGCTTTGTGAGGTCATGACGTGTGTAAATAACATCACCTAAATAGTATCAGGTTGTGTCGTAGAAACGGTACAGGTAGTTTCTCATGACCGTGACTCAGACATCAGTAACTGTTTGAGATGATGTCACAAGTCATATCATACCTGTCTCTCCAAGTGCAATTTTCTGCTTCTTTTCCTATTAACATTGAGTACGAGATAGACGTTATCAGTTTACTTTAATGGCATGAGAATTGAATATGACATTCATATAATGTGAATATGACGTTTATATAAATGACAAATTGAAAGACCTTCAAGTATGGGAGAAAGCTGACAACGCCCAAAGCTGACAACGCCCTAAGCTGACAACGCCCTACCCATTACCCCCTTGGATACATATATAGATGTTCGTGGCATATGAGACCTTTCTTAGGATACTGTCACACATTGATAGTTCATGACATTATAATCTGAAATTATTCTAAGATAAATTCGGATTAAGACACCAGGTAGCAGAACACATAAACCTACCACCTTCCAGCTACAAGGATAAAGGCAGAGACCAAGCGATGTGCAGCAATTCGTAACAGCGGAGCTCTAACTTTCAGCTGCTAGCATTCACGCCAATCTCTGATAAAGGTATCTTCATTACTGCTGTCAAGAAGGCATATTATTTAAGTGTCATTTGGAAAGACCTTCACAATTTCCTGAAGGACAATGGAATATAAAGGCGGAGAGGTACCAGCTTCTTCCCTGAAGAGAGTTCATGTTTCTCACTGTGACACACCTTTCACTGGAGGTGCTTCGCAGAAACAATTAAAGGACTATTTCAAATGTAGGAAAGTAATGGGAAATGTTGAAAAAGAAGATTCACCAAAGAATGATCATCTGTATCGAACACCCAAATGGAATATGTTACCATGTAGTATTAACCCAACAAATGATGTGACGTCATTGACCCATGCAGGTGTTCATCGACCGTTTATGAATGAACAAAATCAATCTAATCCCAGTAGTATTATTCCACCATTCAAGGACAGAGACCATGATGAAGTAAACAAAGCAATGTTGCCTCATTTACCTCAGGCTGGTGAGGAAACATGTAATGATGTGTCAGACACATGCTTGAATATCAAAAGAGAAAATTCTCAAAGAGGTATTTACATGTTTGTTCCAAAGTCTCCAACACCATCAATGGCAGAGCGCTATATTTCTATTGAGAAAACTCAGTGTGAGGAACTAAGGGAGATAACTCTGCCTTCAAAGGTGGCATTTGTGTACAACCCATTAGAATATGCTTTTGAACCTCATTACAACTTTGTTGAGAAGTTCTGCAACTCAAAGAAGAAGATCCTGTTCCTTGGTATGAATCCTGGGCCATGGGGAATGTCGCAGAATGGGGTGAGTATTGACAGGATTAGAATACGGTGAAACTCAGTGAAGACCCTGTTGTACCATTATTTTCCGATGTCTCACCAGGTTTTTACATGTGAATCACATTGTATATTCAATGCAATAATTGTCTGGAATACTTGCAAATGTTTCTGATACTAGTTGATAACTGACACAATATATTTGTTGAGGAAGTCCTCAACCAGATTGGGGGGGTGGGGTAGCCTAATGGTTAAAGCATTCCCTCGTCACGCAGAAGACCCTGGTTCGATTCCCCACATGGGTACAATGTGTGAAGCCGTGATATGTGCCGCTGTGATATTGCTGAAATATTGCTAAAAGCGGCATGAAACTAAACTCACTCACTCACTCACTCTTTCACTCTCTCATTCGAACCAGACTGAGTATTTGCATGGTTTTAAATAATGACTGCTGGCCTGCTAATTTTTTAAGTAACTTTAATTTTAATGTTCAGATAACTATGTAAATTTGATAAAGAAAAGAAAGAACCACTACTTAATGATGACTACTTCCAAATATTTGGTTTTGTTGTTTTTGATGTCTTTATAGTTGGTTTTCTGTTTTTAGAAATGTGCTTGGCTAACTGCATTACCACACTGTACTAATGGCTTCCTGTATTTCCTGGCGTACTAAACTTCACAAAGAAATGTTTTGTTAGATGTTTTATATCTCATGTAGGTACCATTTGGTGAAGGCAGTATGGTGAGAGACTGGCTGAAGATATCTGGTGCTGTTCTCAAACCCTGTCCCGAACACCCCAAACGTCTGGTGACCGGACTCAACTGTACAAGATCAGAGGTAAGAATCTGTGAAATGAATTTAAGACATACTTTTAATATCAGCAGCATGATGAAAAATAAGGCAGGTATATAAAAGTAACTAAATTTATCAAGTGCAGGCATCAAATGCATTACAAAAGTTAGAGATCAATAGATGTTAGTTCATAGAGATCAATAATCATGAACTGGCTATTGATCGATAGCCAGGCAGTGATGCTGTTAGGAGTTTTTTCATTTTGTTTGTTATACACAACACTGTCGCCTGATTCCAAGACCGATACAGCTGTCACTTATTCAAGTGATGATTCTTCATTTTCAGGTTTCTGGTCGAAGGTTTTGGGGTTTCTTCCGAGACCTGTGTGGCAGCCCCGAGACTTTCTTCACCAACTGTTTTGTGTACAACATGTGCCCATTTGCTTTCATGAGTGAAACCGGCCAAAACATCACCCCACCACAGATTGAAGCCAAGACCTTGCAGAGGATCAACACTGCGTGTGACAAAGCTTTGCTGGAAGTATTAAACCTTCTAGACATTACCACCATAGTCGGTGTTGGGAAATTTGCATATAAACGTGCAAGGACAGTTTTAGGGGTAAACAGGATTGACGGTATTCGTATCGAGTGTATCATGCATCCCAGCCCTATCAACCCAGCTGCCAATAAAGGATGGAGCGACATTGTCAGCAAACAGCTGCAGGAACTGGATCTAATGGACACTATTGTAAATTAGTGGTGTAGCGATTCATCGATAGTATCGATGTTTGCATCGTCAACTACGCGATACGAGTGCATCGATACAAAACACGTTTAGGCAATATATTAGGATATTTATATCGCGAGGGTCCATGATACATCGATGTATCGCCAAAAGAGACGATATATCCCGATACAACTTAAATATTACTTAAAGTTGTAGGGAGTATTGCATAAGTAATAGGAAGGGAGTCTCTTTGAAATTTTTCTGAATTTTAAAAAACAAACTGAACCTAAAAGGAATTTGTTTGTGTCTGCCATCTTTGTTACAGGAACAAAGGAGTTAGTGTATCAGTGAAAGAATGTGAACAATCTCTGTGAACCATTTATTAACAACTATGAACGATGTCTTAGCTTTGTTAAGAAAGAGAAGATAAAATTTAGAAAGCATACTTATGAGTTTTTTGCAGTGATTCTGGTATAAATTACTGTACAGCTGTATAAATTGCCTGTGCAAGCATTGGTGCAGAAACACAACTTTCCAAGGGAAACCTAGAGCAAGGTATACTGAATATGTTTGATTGTACTTTCTTAAACATTAAATGCTGAAACTTTATTACATGAACAGCCTTTTAAGTGTGTGTGAATGTAACACATGTTCTGCTGAATAACAAATAAAGATTCAGTCATTTTATCTATCATATATGTCCTGTTTTTTAGGATTGTATAGTATCGGGATAAGTATCGTATCGCCATCACTGTATCGTGATGATAATCGTCTCGCAGGTTCCTTGCCAATACTTTCATGATATATCGTCTCGCCTCATTAAACTAGTATCGGGATATATCGTCTCGCCACTTAGGCCACGATACACAGCTCTATTGTAAATAAATAATAACATAGTCTTGTTGGTTTTGTTTTTGAGAAAAGTGGGTGGATGAGAGTGTGAGAGAATTATATTTATTGGCAAACAAGGATAAGTTGAACACCGACCTGACAATTGACCCGTATTAGCTTGCCATTGTGAGCGAAGGGGCCCCAGGTTGTCCGTTATCAAGTGTAGTGCGATCGACACCTTCTGCTCGGATGCGCCTCAGGGGAAGAGAGAGATAAACCGGTGGCATTGCTAGTTTTTAACAGTGCATGTTTCGTAGATGTACATTCTTTCTCCATGTACTTAATAACATTGTATGCCACTTCTCGAGTCTGAGAATGTATTATTTGACCGTGCTTACCTAACTTTGACATGTTTAATTCTCTCGAAATATATATCTATATCTCCAAATATTACCGACTTGCTACACCGACCACGTGAGAGTCTTATGAGCAAGGCGTGTGCGGCTACGCACAGAATCAATTTCATCGTCATGCACTGCACATGCACTAGCCTATATCTGCTCTGCCTTTCACAAACCATATGGGTTTGCTCATTGCCGTGCACCACCTAGTCCAACTTATCCTTGTTTGCCAGTAATGCCTCTTTGAAAAGTGTTTGAGTCAGTGTGTCAGCTTAATATGAGTGAGTGAGTTTAGTTTTATGCCACTTTTAGTAATATTCCAGCAATATCACGGCAGGGGACACCAGAATGGACTTCACACATTGTACCCATTTGGGGAATCGAACCCAGGTCTTCGGCATGTATTTATGAATAACCACTAGGCTACCCCACCACCCAGTCAGCTAGATGTGGGAGGAAAGATGCACTACCACTGGTACGGTGCTACCAAACAGGAACACAAGTAGGGTTATGTGGGGTTGGACAAATGACAAATCTTATTTGGCAATTCTTGCTTCGTCGCCCACAGAAGTGAATGTTTAATAATTTCGAGGAATGTGCCCTGCAGCTTTAACTTCAACAGGATTTATATATAATATATGAGTAGCTAAATTGGTAAATGTTTTGTAAATATACTGAACAACAAAAGAAACGCAAGTTTAGAGAAAATGAAATCTCATGAAGGTAAGCGTTCATGGTAAAGTGAAGTAATGATCCCAGATGAGATGATGTCATGCAATTTGACGTTCATACGAATCATTCGCACAAACACATCAACAATGCAGCAAAACCATAATTTTAGCACATGCATTGACAGTTATTGATGAAAAGCATGCATTTTACTCTGAGATATCCTTTAAGGTTTGTGTAAAAAAACAGTTCAGTATTGACGCTAAGAGGTGTACACGCCACACAAACACTGCCTAGACTAACAACTGAACAGAGGGGAATGGCCATTGGAAAGTTGCACGGAGGAAGCTCTGCAACCGCTCTAGCTAGACAATTGGGCTGTCATCTTACCACCATTACACGACTTGCTCAACGTCATCAGCAAAGCGGGTTGCTGCTGATCGTCCCCGTACCGGATGGCAACGAGTAACAACTCATGCGCCAGATCAGTTCATCCGGGTCACTCATCTAAGGAACCGAACTCAAGCAGCAACAGTAACAGCAGCCTTAGTTCTTGGGTCAAGGGGAGCAGTGCCAAGCGATACAATTAGGCGTCGTCTTCGGGCTGCTGGAATCCACTGCCGAAGGCCATATGTCGGACCAATTTTGGCACGTCAACAACGCCAGCGACGTTTGCAGCCCTCACACAGCAAGGGTGTCGATGGATATATCTGGCTCAGAACAACATTAACGTCTCTTTCCCGGATATGGCTCCCATTGAACATTCTGGGACGAAATTGGACGGAGGATTGCTGAAGGTAGACAGCCACTCACACTTGCACAATTGGAATAGAGATTGGTGTTTGAGCGGAACCAGTTGCCTCAGGCATTCTTTCAGACTAGTGAACTCAATGAGGCCACGTTTCACGGTCTGTGTGCAAGCTCAAGGTGGCTATACTCGCTACTAAAGCGACTGTCACTTTTCGCGTTCAGGGGTATCTCCATTTGACGGACTGTGATCAATTTGAACTTATTGCAATTCAATGTCAGCAGCAACTTTTATCTGTTAAATTGACAGTGTTTTCTATAGAATAATGGTTAGACATAATTTTGGTTGTCATCTATTAAAAAACTTGACAAAAAGACAGAATTGCGTTTCTTTTAATGTTCAGTATATATTTCCAGACCTTCATTATGTTTAACACTTTGCAAGCACAATAACTGGCAGATTCTTCTCTGGTTGTATAGAGGTTGTCAATAGAGCTCAGGTAACAAATCAGTTGAACTTCAGCAACGTTGGGCACAAAGAGTCCATGGATGGATGACCGTGTTTGGCAACTTCCTCCTGAGAGTTTCCAGTACTTCAGTCCTGCCCCCAACCGAAACACATGTGTGATGCATGTGGTCTCACCTTAGTCAAGTGAGTTTGTTAGAACATGCCTCTGTTCACCCAGCAGAAAATGGGTACCCAGTGGGAGAAGTCATGTGACTGTTAACCATCTAGCGCCTCACAGGCAGCTTGGGTTATCCGGGGTAATAATAATCAGATTGTAGCACTTAGAGTGTGCCCCTCTATGATGCAGAATTCAGCGCATTACAGATGCCCTTATTATTATCTGTCAATAAACAGTTTTGTGGGAAACTGCATTAAAAGGACAAACAAGAAGGAAGTAATATTCCTCTTCTAGGAGTTGCAAACTGCACCTACAGCAACTAAGTGCCCCCTAATATCTATGTGGGGTTTTATATGGAGTGCCATCAGATACATTGAAGTCTTCTTCTGCAACTAAGTTCGCAGAAATCTGGAAATAACCGTTAAGATAGCTTGACTAGATTAGTTGTAACACGTTTACGTCAGTCTTAGTCCTAGGACACTTTCTGGAGGAGGCTACCAGGCCACAGTTTGCCATGCATTCCACATACACAGTGTACCGATTTCAAGATGGCCAGACCTTGTTTACATCCCGACAGCACTAAAACATTCAATTTTTCAATTTCTGTTGGAATGAGCACCCATGAGTATCTGGGTTAGAATTGATCTTCAGTAAACCATGCTTGTTGTAAGAGGCGACTAACGGGATCAGGTGGTCAGGCTCGCTGACTTGGTTGACACTTGTCATTGTATCACAATTGCGTAGATCGATGCTCATGCTGTTGGTCACTGGATTGTCTGGTCCAGACTAGATTATTTACAGACCGCCGCCATATAGATGGAATATTTAAACTAAACTCACTCTTGTAATGAGGCAAGGAATCAAACCACCATCTTTTCATTCTGGCAGACATTCTATCCACTGGACCAACAGACGGTCACAGTGATTTGATGTCTCCAAGCATCAAAATGAAAGTTTAATCTGCAAATCAGATCATCCAGTCTACGCCATCTCTCGTGTACAGCAGCTTCCAAATTGGCCAGGTTCCATACAGGAGGATCCTTTTGTTGCACACGACAACCAATCATGTCCCAGATGTGCTCCGAGGGGTTACGATCTGGGTTCATTCAATCATGAGATATGTCAGGGGGTGCTTCACTAAGTTCTTTGTGTATACTGACTGACTGAGTTTGGTTTTACGCCGCTTTTAGCAATATTCCAGCAATATCACGGCGGGGGACACCAGAAATGGGCTTCACTCATTGTACCCATGTGGGGATTCGAACCCGGGTCTTCGGTATTACCAGGAATTAACGTTATTGAGTGAGCAAGCGTGACGAGCCAACGCTTTAACCACTAGACTACCCCACCACCCCTCTTTGTGTATACAATGGAAACACTTATTGATTACAGGGTATATACAATGTGCTGGAAAGTGAGAAAGGTGCATACAGATACTGGCAAAACACAAACAGCTAATAGTGAGTATGGTTTTATGTCGCTTTTAGCAATATTGCAGCAATATGGCAGGGGACACAAGAAATGGGCTTCACACCAAACTGCTAAGAATAGATCAACAAACTCCGTAACTGAACATACCTGTATCTTTATTAACAATAATTTCACAAACAAATACACAGACAAAAAGACAAGCACAGCCAAAGCCCAATATCAGTGTCAAATCAATACATCTTGTATCAATATTGTCCCCACACTTCCAGAGGGATGACTATGATCCACTTGGATGTTTCACACGTAATCAGGTATACCAAGTTTAAAACGCCAAACTCTCGGCAACTTTAATTAGTGCAAAATTAACAAACACAAATTGCCTGGAATTCCTGTAACACGAGTGACCAGCCACAAACTGCACCCCTCCTTTATCACAGGCTGATTCCTGATTGTCCCAAAGCTTCAAAGTGACACCTTATATACTGCTATCTAGCCAAACAAAACATACATGAAACCAGAGACCATATACCGGTGATGAAACTGATCAAAAACAATGAAATTCTACAATTCTGCAATAATGGCTGGACAAGGGGATCAACAATCTTGCCAGTTTTGTCATTACAGTAATATAAGTCAATAATGTCATGTGTGATTTTCAAATATGATGTAGAATGCCTGTTGTGGAGATTTTCAGGCTAAGAACTGGATGTCATGAAGCCTACTTGCCGACTGGTCTAAAAGTCAAGGGGGCACTTGGTTAAAACATATTTTTATTTCCAAAAGAAACACATGAACAAGCAAAATTCTTGTATCAATAATGCTCCGGTAACAAGAAACAAGAGAAAGACTGATCTAAATATGTTTGAAGACTTCAACAATGGTAAACGAAGTAAGATTTGTGAATTGGTGGTGCCAACGTGAAACAGATTTGCAGACTGGAATTGGTAACAGTGAGTTTAGTTTTACGCCACTTTTAGCAATATTCCAGCAATATCACGGCAGGGGACACCAGAAATGGCCTTCACATCAGGGATAAGAAAAGGTATAAGTTTGACTATTGGAATCTTTTGCATTTTATGATAAACTTGTGCACAGATTTAAGAAGATCTATGTTGGTTGAGGGGGCACTTGTTGGTGGGGGTCACTTAATATGGTGATTATGGTATACTGTAAATATCCAGTACCATTTTCCCATAAACAAACAACACACAAACAAAAACAAATTTTCACAGGAACTCAAAATCTATCATAAGGCGACATCAAACCGGTGTCCATTATATATATATGTAACGAACTGACTGCACTAAAATGTCTTATCACCCAGTCGACATCAATTAACATTAGCTGTTTTTCAAACACAATGACACTGACAAAGCTCTTTTGAGCAATTCTCAAAGTTGGATCCACAAATGATACACGGTATCTGAAATTACACAAGCATATTAGTGACTTTACAGTTCAAGTTCATCACATTTGGATCCCTTCTTGAGAAAGAGGGGAAAATAAAATTAAACGAGTCTGCAATGAGGTTAGTAATCTTTTAACACATATTAATATCTAGTAATTATTTTAGTTGATTTCCCATGAAACTCCTGAAAATATCTCTAATACATTACCAACTCTCTTCCGATATTTGACAGTACTTGTGTGCTGTCATTTCATCATCACACCTGTCATGTCAAGTTCCACTGTGACCGTCCAACATACAAGGTGTCATCCATTTCGATGTTCTCGTCTATAATTGTTACAAAACAAAGCTGGCCTTCTAGTTACCATCATCAATAACTGATTTTGATTATAATCAGAAGCTTCTGTCAAACTTTCATACTAATCCTCAAACACTTCTGGAATGGAAAGAAATCAGTATTACCAATTCTTACAATCTGGATAACTGAAAACCTTCAGTTCAAGAAATTATTCATAAGCCCAACCGGCTAAAACATCTAGGAGAGCTATATATATATATACATTTGAATAAAAATTCAAAAAGTAAAATTGGTCCAAAAGTACATTGTGCACATAAAAAAATACAAGTTATCTAGAAATCATTTATTGATCTGATTTGTCTTTGGCATGCTTGTCACAAATAACTGACCTAATTAGTGACATCTCTTTAATCAGAACCAATAAAATGACACAAAATGTCATTAAAGTTCTCACAATAAAACACTACAACATTAAGCTATTTTAAAATGGTTTTCAGACAAAACAACATCCAGTCTCCAAGAAATACAAGAATATTATTAGACATTTATCATTTTTGAAAAATACAAAAATATCCATCCATATGAACAGTATGACTGTGATAATACTTCAATGTAAAGAACTCTAAAGTTTTGTAAGGACATACGAAGAAAACCTATATATTTTCTTGTGATTGTAAAGAGAATTGAAAAGTAGGATTTACCACTGACTGACGATATATGAAGATAGCCACTTCTACATGAAAGTGTATCAAAAATAGACATGAGACATGTTACATACTAAAAAATGGCAATACATTCTGATAAACAGTCAAGTAAGGCATCCTTAGAAATTGATGACTCACAACACTGTCACATGTGAGGATTGTTTAGATGCTGGATACAAACTTTTATATTTTCCATTATGTAGTACCTTCACCCTGAAACCTTCTTAAACTGAGAACTCGACTTTTCACCACATTTCTTTGAAAAAAAATCATTCGCAATCAATTCCAAGGCTATTGAATACAACTGAAGCGAACTTATATGTTAATAAGATCGCTGATGTCATACAGGATTTATACATACATACATACAAATACTTGTATAGCGCCAATATCCGTAATCCGCTCAAAGGCGCTCTGGCTCTAAGATGGTCTAGATATCACATAGAGTTCAAATGCTTCAGCAAAGAGACACGTCTTCAGATTTGATTTAAAAACAGCTAAGTCTGGTTGTGTTCTGAGGTGAGATGGAAGATTGTTCCAGAGATGAGGGCCAGTCGTCTCGAGTGACCTGTCACCATATGTTTTTGTCCTAGTCACAGGAATTGTCAAAAGAAACTGATCATTTGATCGGAGGGAACTTACAGGAGTATAACGGTGGAACAGAGGACAGAGGTACTGAGTTGCTAGACCATGTAAACTTTTGAAAACAAGGAGTAGAGTTTTATATTTTATGCGGTAGTGGACGGGAAGCCAATGAAGTGAGTGAAGAACGGGAGGAATGTGATCTGATTTCTTTGACAGAGAGACCACTCTGGCTGCAGTATTCTGCACTTATGAGTGAGTGAGTTTAGTTTTATGCTGCTTTTAGCAATATTCCAGCAATATCACGGCGGGGGACACCACAGAATGAAATTCACACATTGTACCCATGTGGGGAATCGAACCCAGGTCTTCGGTGTGACAAGCGAACACTTTAACCGGTAGGCTACCCCACCGCCCCAAGGATTTATGAATATCTTAAATACTTTCAGTAAAGCAATGACTATAACCCTGACAGCTTTATACATTGTCGGCCAGTGCAGCTAAGCAGCATGTAAAGAATCAAAAGGGAAAACATTTTGAATTACTAATTACATGTTTTCCTAAAAATATATACAAACATCTGAATGTCATGCAAGGGTTGAGCAAAGTCACATGAATCATGTAGAGAAAGTTTCTTACACTGGCAGCCAAACCACTACTGATGATTAAATTTGTTAAATGTAACAGCTGTAAACACAACTCAGTAACAGTCTTCATTGTCATTTTAAACTCAGTAGTGTGGTGTGACGAAGAAGTCTTCATTGTCATTATTAAACCAAAGTGATAAAGAAGTTTCATAACAAATTGTCATGATGTGATAAAGAAAATCCCTTTATTGTCATAACAAATTGTCATCAAGTTTCATGTGATAAAGAAGCCCTTCTAATGTCATCAAGTTTCATGTGATAAAGAGAACCCTTCTATTGTCATAACAAAATTGTCATGAAGAGAACCCTTCTATTGTCATAACAAATTGTCATCAAGTTTCATGTGATAAAGAGAACCCTTCTATTGTCATAACAAATTGTCATCAAGTTTCATGTGATGAAGAGAACCCTTCTATTGTCATAACAAATTGTCATCAAGTTTCATGTGATGAAGAGAACCCTTCTATTGTCATAACAAATTGTCATCAAGTTTCATGTGATAAAGAGAACCCTTCTATTGTCATAACAAATTGTCATCTAGTTTCATGTGATGAATCCTTCTATTGTCATAAAATCCTTTTATTGTCACAATGAAACCAACTCAACAAGTTTTTCTTCTGTCAATATAACGTTAACCAGTAATACAGAAGTTGTATCATTCACTGAACATATAACAAGGGAGCTATGTTTTTGGCACATGCAATTTTCAATGAAGACTTTTAGAAATAAATACATACATTAGTGTATGTGAAATGTTTCAGAAAAGACGGACAAAGACAGCATCTCAACTCAAACCTCAATCACTGAACTGTCTCCTGAACTTCTGCAATGGAATCTAATACTGAGTAATGCAATGACTCCAATCTTGACCACACTGTAAGATACAAGTCAGAGCCATCATCAAGGTTGTCTCCGATGTATGTCATGGTTGTATCGCACCAGAAGGACTTGTGCTATTTCATCGTGGACATCCACGGCTATGGCATCAAATCTACATCAGAACATTTCCAGATTAAGATTAGTTTCTATCTCAGCTTTCCCTGCCGTTAAGGAAATTTATACCATGATTAAAAAAAATATATATGCCATACTCTTCCTTTGCACACTCATCAAAATCAAGGCCAGGTTCATCTTTCTTCATCTACATTTATTTATAAATTCTTACCTAAGCATTGGTCTTCATCACAAATTATTTTAAAGGCTGTAACAAAGTGATCTAAATTATATGCCATAAAATCAGAACACAATTAGTGAAAAACATTATTTCCACTGTCTTATCTTATATTTTTTCTTCCATCCACTCTATTAATGGTCGAACTTGGAGATGAGAAACATTTACAAAATATGAATGGCCTGAGCAAAAACAACAATTTATTTCCAACTGTGCACAATATCAATTCCCAATGACACTGGACTTTTTATCAAAAACACTGTCTATTCTAACACCTTAACAAATCAAAAACTCATCCCATTGTTGGTTCACACAGAACACTCAACACCTTTAGCCAATAGGCTACAGACAGAAATAAGGACATAATTTGAGCCACATCCACCAATAGATGCACGTAAGTAGAGTCCTTAATGTTTAACGTAAACAAACACAGAGATATTTTTTCAGTTTGGCTGTAGGGTGGGGAATACAAATTGTTTTTCTTATGTGAATTTTGGAGAGAATGATTTTATATAACAAACTTCACACAGTCCACTTTTTCTTTTCTTTCAATACCAGCAACAAATCCATGCTGCTTCTCCCTGAGAGGGTATGCAAACCCACATCATTCAAAGAATAGTTATGCATACCATATATAATCGCAGTATATATGTCAGTTTTAGATAAATGGCTAACAGCTGAAGGGATAGCATAAATCCAGATAGAGTCCATGCAGGTAGCAAAAGCATTGTAAGTCCCCATGGTCTCTAGCACGGTGATCTACCTTCAGTTGCTGGCGATCTATAGCCTGTTTTTACATTGAATTGTTGTTTATAGTAATATATTTTTACAGTTATGTACTAGTTTTAAGAGAAATTCGGTGAAATCTAATGATCTTATAGTCTTTAATTGACAGGTATTTATTTATAAAGTTGGCCTTTATTAATAGATAACTTGTGTAGTCCCGATATGGCTGAAATAATGCTGATGTGATTTTAAATGTTAAATCACTCACTCATACATGCTGTTTCTAATTATAAACAGCAGCTTGATGCTGATTGTGTGTCCGAATCTCAGTTTGACCCAACCAAATGAAGATACTAGAATCTGTACTCTACTGGAGAAGTGTAATCCGATACATAGCAGATGCTTCATCGGCCGCTTCAAAATGGCATCGTGTATTCATCGTACAAATTAAGTAATCAGGGACTCTGTTGCATCTTGCTGAGGAAGCTGCCTGAGAAATATTGCCAGTGATGGTATTGCATCCATGGCTGACATAGCATTAGTATCTGGCTAGCTTCGTTCAGCAAGGATGAGTTATGTACAATTGGTGTAATTATTTGTGTGCTACAATGCAGGCCATGGGAGAAGTTTCAACAATTATCAGTTAAAATCATAACATTTTATACCACCTACCATATCGTTGATGATGGTAATCACTTGAAGATTCAAGAGAAATCAATGTTAATTTCACAGCTGACCACAAATCAAGCATTTTGGTAGCAACGTGGATTGATTATTTTCATATTGTGGCTGAATGTTGGAACTAACAATTGTGTCAGATGTACTGGACACGGAATATTGACTTGTCAGTAGGGCAAGTGGCATGGCGTTCTGATGAAGAATCAGATGTCCTAGTTGCTCTTGCCGAAGAGGGAGAGGAGGATGAGGAAGAGGTAGACGACGTCCAAGTAGAGTTGCAGAGCGCCATAGATGTACTCCTCTGGGGAAAGTTCGTGCTTCCTGCCGCCGACTATCATCTGGGTGTCGTAGATCAAAAACTGCAACATTCAGCACATTGGCAGGATGTGAGTGAGAGAGAGTGAGTGAGTGAGTGAGTGAGAGTGAGTGAGTGAGTGAGTGAGTGAGTGAGTGAGTGAGTGAGTGAGTGAGTGAGTGAGTGAGTGAGTGAGTGAGTGAGTGAGTGAGTGAGTGAGTGAGTGAGTGAGTGAGTGAGTGAGTGAGTGAGTGAGTGAGTGAGTGAGTGAGTCTGGGATGATCAGTTGTTCCAGCATGTACCCAAATAATATAAACTTTCAGGCTAGTTATTTGTGTGAGCCACATGTACTTGACAAGTTGAATGCACCTTGCCAGCCTCCCATCCCTTAAGATTTATTGATTTATTGATCTGGAATCGTTTACTGTCGTAAATGGTCAATAATATTCAGCAGATGTCTATATCCGACAGTGTAACGAATGATACTGAGCCTAAGCTTACTTAGACTGCATGTACATCATGTCACACAATGAGTCAGTGGACCCATGAAGATCCACGTTAGAATTGGTCTTCAATAACCCATGCTTGGTGACGAACAGGATCGGGTGGTCAGGCTCGCTGACTTGGTTGACACATGTCATCGTATCCCATTTTCCTAGATCGATGCTCATGCTGTTTATCTGACACAACTTCGGTCTAGGAAGTTGTCTATTTCTGATCAGACATTTGTCAATTTCGGTCAAACATCCCTTATGTCATGTGATAGGACCTGGCATAAAATTCATGAATATTTCCTTTAACCGCTCCCTGAAACATTCCATCAGTACTCACCAGGCCAAAGACAAGGGCTGCAAGAGCTCCATAGACACAGTCCAAGATCTAAAAAACCAAATCACTGAGTAAACTGATTCATATTAATCAATCACTGATACAGATCAAACACTATATAATCCTAAAAATAACGAATTTATGGGTACACTTACAGAATACCGGATACCTAATTATATACATTCTATTGTGCGCGTGAAGCTCCTATATATAGAAGAAACAGAGAGCGCAAGCCTGCGAGCGATCCAATAAAAATACGAATTTAAGGTAAAAAATAAGGTTAAAATCGAATTGCTCACCTTACTTCTGGTTTAGGAAACCTAAACTGGGGATTTTAACAGTGTTCACTGACGTAAACAGAGTAAAAAGTAATCGTGTGTTGAAATTTTATTCAAATGCATGCTGGGAAAAGGAACTCTACAGTGTGGGAACACTCTGATGGTAAGTGTTTTTTGATTGGTAAGGTAAGGTAGGTAGGGCTTTTAAATAAAGGGGGGTACCCCCTTTACCCCCATTATCTTACCTTTTTTTAGCTTTAATATTGTTTAATATTTAATATTTAATATTGAACGCTGCTTCAACACAGACTTCATTCATGGCGTGCCGTTGCTAAGGAAACAAAACGGAAGTGCGCAAAAATAAATGCGTAATCAAAATAAAAATGGCGGATAGGTATCCGGTATTCTGTAATCTTGCCAATTTATGACTCACTTTTATAATGTTTTGACCAATGAAAACATTACATGTATACATAAGCATGTGTCATCAAATACTGAATAAAGCTCATCTTCCTGACACAATGAGCTATCTATAGAAAGGAGTTTAACAAAATTTTGACAGAGACAAGCACGCATGCATGCATGGTGAGACACGCACACATTCACGGAGTCTGTCAGACCCTCACTGACAGTATTTGTAGAGATTTGGAAACCCAGATCAAGTAAACAGTTAAAGCATAAACTTATTAATATTCACAATTTCAAACTCCAAGTCGCAGGCCGTGTTTGCCGCCATACTTGTTCAAGAGGTAACAGGAGCGGATAACTCTAAATCAAAGTGAACGAATCTGGTCCTTCCTCTATTTTGCGATGCGCATTATCAACAGAAGTCAATTACTAATCTATCCATAGTTACACAGACTATCGATGCATCAATACTTTTTTCATTTCTTCCATCGATTAATTGCTCTGAGACTCAACAATTGCAATCCATCGATAGTTTGATGCATCGTTACAGCACTAGTTAAAATACAATAGTAAAACAACTCTGACTTACAAAAAAGAGAACTCTAAAACATTCCAGATTCGAAAAATCCTATGTAAATCCTTGTCTGAGACAGGAAGTATTGGGTAGGTGGCCTTATTTCAACGATGCAAGTTTTGCATTATGGCTGTCGTGTTTCTTTGTTTAAAGGTCACATTCAACGTAAAACACAACTTTGCAGATTCTGATACCTTTCGGTATGGACTTACAGCAACAAAGGATCAAAATGCAGTTCAGACAATTCACTAAATTCCCCCCAGCTGGGATGAAAAGTGGTTTCAACAGCCGTGCTGCACTGTGCTCATGGCGCATGCGCAGTGAAAATGTGTCTGCCTGCCTGTCTGCTAATGACAATATGCAATACACAACTTCGATCACTGACCACATGCAATTTGAACTTAACACCTATCAGGCTATACACCATAAACAAAACGCTTTGATTTATGGCCGAGTGCGGTCTCTGTCACATTATGTAATTACACAGACAGGCAGGTGTGATACTTGTACACATGACATGTTATGGCGTCTGTTGATTGCAAAATGTTATACACAAAAAATGAGCACGTATTTACAAAACCCAACATCTCTAGACACACACAAAGAGTGTATCGGCAAATGAACCAGCCAATGAAAGTCTTCGTTACACTTAAGTGCACACCCACCCGCTGTGACTGGGTTCGTTATCCCGGGTGCTTCGTTTCGAGGGAAGTAAACCCAAGTACAAAATATTGCACTTGTGATATGCAATTGTACACTTATAATTTTGTTTATTTGTTTTTTTTATAATCAACAATGTATATTATATGTCTGAATAAGTGATAATTGTGTTTTAATTATCTTTGTGCTTTTTTGTTGCATGTGACCTTTAAGCATGGTTATAATGGCTGTGGTGGTAGAAGATTTTCAACATACCCTGCTGTAGCCAACTGTGTAGAAGACGATGAGACACGACCAGCCGAAGAAAAACAACACCATCACCAGAACAAACAGCAGGCCGCTGCACATGGTGAAGTCAATCTGGACAACAGAATCACACAAACAGGGTCAGTAATGACAACAAACAGCAGGCTGCTGAACATGGTGAAGTCAATCTGGACAACAGAATCACACAAACAAGGTTAGTAATGACAACAAACAGCAGGCCGCTGCACATGGTGAAGTCAATCTGGACAACAGAATCACACAAACAAGGTTAGTAATGACAACAAACAGCAGGCTGCTGCACATGGTGAAGTCAATCTGGACAACAGAATCACACAAACAGGGTTAGTAATGACAACAAACAGCAGGCTGCTGCACATGGTGAAGTCAATCTGGACAACAGAATCACACAAACAGGGTTAGTAATGACAACAAACAGCAGGCCGCTGAACATGGTGAAGTCAATCTGGACAACAGAATCACACAAACAGGGTTAGTAATGACAACAAACAGCAGGCTGCTGCACATGGTGAAGTCAATCTGGACAACAGAATCACACAAACAGGGTTAGTAATGACAACAAACAGCAGGCTGCTGCACATGGTGAAGTCAATCTGGACAACAGAATCACACAAACAGGGTTAGTAATGACAACAAACAGCAGGCGCTGCACATGGTGAAGTCAATCTGGACAACAGAATCACACAAACAGGGTTAGTAATGACAACAAACAGCAGGCTGCTGCACATGGTGAAGTCAATCAATCTGGACAACAGAATCACAAAAACAGGGTTAGTAATGACAACAAACAGCAGGCTGCTGCACATGGTGAAGTCAATCTGGACAACAGAATCACACAAACAGGGTTAGTAATGACAACAAACAGCAGACTGCTGCACATGGTGAAGTCAATCTGGACAACAGAATCACACAAACAGGGTTAGTAATGACAACAAACAGCAGGCCGCTGCACATGGTGAAGTCAATCTGGACAACAGATTCACATAAACAGGGTCAGTAATGACAACAAACAGCAGGCCGCTGCACATGGTGAAGTCAATCTGGACAACAGAATCACACAAACAGGGTTAGTAATGACAACAAACAGCAGACTGCTGCACATGGTGAAGTCAATCTGGACAACAGAATCACACAAACAGGGTTAGTAATGGGTTAGTAATGACAACAAACAGCAGGCCGCTGCACATGGTGAAGTCAATCTGGACAACAGAATCACACAAACAGGGTTAGTAATGACAACAAACAGCAGGCCGCTGAACATGGTGAAGTCAATCTGGACAACAGAATCACACAAACAGGGTTAGTAATGACAACAAACAGCAGACTGCTGCACATGGTGAAGTCAATCTGGACAACAGAATCACACAAACAGGGTTAGTAATGACAACAAACAGCAGGCCGCTGCACATGGTGAAGTCAATCTGGACAACAGATTCACACAAACAGGGTTAGTAATGACAACAAACAGCAGGCCGCTGCACATGGTGAAGTCAATCTGGACAACAGAATCACACAAACAGGGTTAGTAATGACAACAAACAGCAGGCTGCTGCACATGGTGAAGTCAATCTGGACAACAGAATCACACAAACAGGGTTAGTAATGACAACAAACAGCAGGCCGCTGCACATGGTGAAGTCAATCTGGACAACAGAATCACACAATAAGTCATTTAACAAATAGCAAATAATCAGTGATGATTATTAAATAAAATTCAAAATCAGAAACAGATTCCTGTACTTAAAATGGTGAAACCAATCTTGACCAGTTTTTAATACATACAGCCATGCAGGTTTAAAAAATATAGGTTATTTTCACTGATACAAACTAGCGTAAAAGAGCAATAAATTATGGTGCATATTGCAGTACAAACATTATTATTGCAATAGCTCAGTCCCTTAGTACATATGTACATAGTGCATATAGGACGGACCCATGAAGATCCAGGTGAGAAATGGCCTTCAGCAAACCCATGACTAGCAGTATCAGTTGGTCAAGCTCACAAGTCATCATTTCCCAGTTGTGTAGATCAGTGTTCATGCATCCTCGATAATCTCCAGGGTATAATTTCCGATCACTCTCCACTATACCCTGGATGCATCTACGGCTTGGGCGATGATATTATTACCTCCGTTGGTTGGCTTTTTATCCAATCAAGTGTCTACGCTGGGAAGTTGAGCGTACCAATCACAATTCACTTTCGATTTTTAAGTTATCTAACCAATTAAACTTGGCAACACAATAATATATTGTTGCAGAGGTAAACTCTGAAAGAGGTAGACAGAGTTCTTGCATATCTTTTTTTAAAGATTTTAGACCTGTCAATTTGTCTGCATGGTTGCCCCCCAAATCTGAGTCGCACTGCGAACAAACTTCCGTGGCTGTGACCGCTGTCATTTTTCAATTTGGCGGCTTATGTGATTGGCTAATGTGAGAATGCGGAGCCAGCAAAGGGAGGTAATAAAATCATTGACTGGAGCCGTAGATGCATCCAGGGTATAGTGGAGATTTATTAGAACATATACCCTGGAGACTATCAAGGATGGTGTTCATGCTGTTGATCACTGGATTGTCTGGTCCAGACTCCACTCCATTATTTACAGACCGCCGCCATGTAGCTGTAATGCTGCTGAGAGCAAACGAAACCAAGAATGACGGTGATGTTAGATTGCGAATGCTGTTCAAATGGACTCACCTTTGTTTGTATGGCAAACAGCGAGATGGACAGACAGACAAGAGCTGTGATACCGATCATGATCAGGACAATGTTTGTGGTATAATAACTGAAACAAGGAAACCAATACCATTGATATCTCTCAATAGGAACTCAAGTACCAAGAGCATATCAGTGTGAGAGCTATTAGGACAGGAAGCATGTGATAATTATATCAACTGATTTCAATAACTCCATTTCAGAAAAGATGTTGAGACTCTCTCTCTCTCTCTCTCTCTTCCCCCCCCCCCTTGAAGTTAATGTTTGCACTGGCAGAGCCAAGGGGGGATTCAGAGGGTTCAAATTCCTGGATCCGCCTAGCTCTGCCTTCTAGCACTTCTGTAAAAACCAACAATAAAGAAATACTGGATCATAATGGATCATCAGGCTGAATCTGGATCAAGGACTAATGATCAGCAGATCCTGTATAAGAAAGGAATGCAACTCTGTACAGAGAATTAAACTGCTCCAACTCTGAACTATTGAACAAAGTCAGATAACAATTCTACTCACCACGATATTGTTGCCACCATGTAGGAGAAGGCCAATGTCTAAAACAGAAAACATTGACGTGAAAACATTATTACAAAGACATTACAATACTTTTACTTTTAACGTAATTTATATATTTTTCTAAATTTCAACTGTATATTTAATTTTTTACCATGTTTCATCAATTCTAATTGTAATTTTACTTCACATTGACAGGCAGTTCAGTCTAGAAATCAATCTAGTCAAAACCTGGAAGTATATAATCTGTGCCAAGTAACATAGTATACGAGAAAAATGTTCATAAGTCAAGAATCAAGACTACACGGAAAGCTACTCACAAATACAGCAAGACAGATGTAGTTTCCAGGAGTATCACGCCTATTAACAAAAACACATTTTAATGTTCCACCTCAAACCAGCACAGATAGGTATAGAAGCTCACCTTTTTCAGGGAAAAAACATTACACGAGAGACTTTGTCCAGTAAATAAATGCAAGCATTTATGAAAATCTCGTTCTCAGATATTTTTATATTTTTTTTAAAATAACATCATATTTTGTTGCACATAGCAGAAGAAAAACGACTATAAAAGCCATGCTGATATCTATGTTTCCAATCAAATTCATGTCAGTGAGTGAGTTTAGTTTTGCGCTGCTTTCAGCAATATTCCTGCTGTATCACGATGGGGATCACCACAAATGGGCTTCACACATTATACCCATGTGGGGAATCAAACCTGGGTCTTTGGCGTTACGAGCAAACGCTTTAACCACTGGGCTACCCAACCACTCCTCATGGCAAAGACCACTAGATCAATGTTTTTTCTAACTAATGGTGATGGGTGATGGGTGATGGCTGACTCAGTTACTGGACAAACTGCAGCTATCTTTAAAAATGTACTCAAGAATTTCTAAACGTCAAAAAGTGACTATGGCTGGACAACACAGTCATCACTGACATTTTCTAGAATGGGAAGACATTTTATCTGTATACAATGGCCAAATTATCCAAAACATCCCGTTTGGTTTGGATGAAAATCATTCGACTGATCTGGTCAGAGAATCATTGTGATTACCCACTTAAAGAAATTATGCCAGAGCACCTGCTAAAGTGTAACTATTGGCTGGGAGTTTTCTTTGCAAGTTAAGAATACTCTTAAAACAATTCTCAGAAGTCTTACAAATAAAGCCCCTGATACGCATTGATAAAAGCACTTACCTGACAGATGGAATGCAAATCAGTACAATGTATGTCACCAGAAATGTTCCGCTGTAAAGTAGGAAACAATGTCACATTAATGATAGGAGAAAGAGTTCTGAACCATAAACATGTAATAATTATGATGATGATGCTGTGGAGAATCATCATCATTATCATAATCATCATAATAATCATCACCATCATCATCATCACTTTCTTGAAACAATCAAGACAATTTGATTTTGGTTTAACTGGTGTTTATAACACAGCTGCCTAAAATGATCGTTATTCAGAAATTATTCATCATTATCGATATGAAAACTGTGTTATCAATAATATCATACATTAACTTTTCTGACAGAGAAAAGTTTTACTTGACTCACACAATATACAAAGTAAGGTCTTTATTTATGACATGCTCCTAAACTATGTTCCAGACACAGTTGTGTTAGTAATCCATGCATAAATATATCTCCACTCACCAGTGATGTGAAATATATTAATTTCTTACAATGTTTTGGAGCATTTTTAGCTCAAAATTATTTCTCCGATATTTAGCAATAATCGATTGATATTTAGTAACGGTTATCAATCTCTGTGATCTATATTGATAGGCAACCCTAGTATATAATATTAATGATGAGACAAATAGGTTGGATAGAAAAGAAGATCAAATGGGGCTGCATTGACCTTAACACGTTGACTGCCACCACGAATATACTTGTAGTATCAATGTCTCACCCAATTTGCCACTATGAGTTATCTCTTAGCTATATTGGTGGTATTTTAAACAAGTTTCACATGTTGGCAAAACAGGCACAGAAGCAATCTTCTCCTGGTAACAAAGAACACCAGGAGCCGTTTGTTTCTTGAGCCTATTTTGCCAACATGTGAAACTTGTTTTAAAATACCACTGATGTAGCTACGAGATAACTCGTAGTGGCAAATGTGGCCAGAATTGATACTACGAGTATACTTGTGATAGGCATTCAGTGTGTTAAACTGGTAAAAATAAATCACTGAGCAACCAAAAGAATTCCTAAGCACTGTTCAGACAAAACCAACACACACTGCTGTAAATATGATGCCGCATACAGCTATCAATTTAGTTCATACAGCTCTATTATCATTAACAAAATATCAATCGATTATTTGTAACTATTGGGGAAGTAACTTTGAATGCGAAAAAAGTAATAACAATGAGTCATCATCATATTTCATGTGACATGTGACTCAAGACAAATTACGCATGGATTCCTAATGCAAACAGTGTATAGAACCTTTAACACTTAGAAGCGGAATGCAAATAAACACATAACTTTATAAATTGAGCGCGAAAATCATAACTTTATTTCATCACAATAGTTCATGTAAGACATTATCAGTGACACAATTTCCATACAGATAAGGCCAGACCAATTTTATTTCTTGTTTTACGGATTTTTGTCCTCAGAAAACCTAAAAACAGGAGGGAAAACAAATAATAATAAAAATCACCTGTCAAAGTAATATTCCTGCTAAATACTCAAGTATTTTACTTTTGGCAATTTATGAAGTGCATATGGGGCAAAAAACAATCTAAAAAATTGTTTTCTTGTAAGTGTACAATTTTGACCAATAAAAACATTAGGATTTTATTTTTTGAGCGGGGAAAACTAAAAAAAAATTCTTATTCTTGAAAAAATACAACACGGCTGATCCCTAAAACAAGAAATAAAATTGGTCTGGCCTAATTGTTAATAATTCTTCCCATTGACAATATTTCTGATGATACCCTGGATTACCACACGGTGCTCTAAACATGGTTCCACCCAGCTGAATGAGTGAGTGAGTTGGGTTTTACACCACTTTTAGCAATATTCCAGCAATATCACGGTGGGGACACCAGAAATAGGCTTCACACAATGTACCCATGTGGAGAATTGAACCCGGTTTTTGGCGTGACCAGCCACGGGGTACCCCACCACTCCCACACCAGTTGAGCAGGCTAGAGGCTTCACACTCCCCCTGTAATGTTGATACTCTAGCGTAATAAGACATTGTTTTGTCGATTTGTCAAGAAGTGAGTGAGTATATTTTTATGCCGCTTTCAGCAATATTCCAGCAATATCACAGCAGGGGACACTAAAAATGGGCTTGACACTTTGTATCCATGTGGGGAATCAAAACCAGAGGCTTCATCATGACAAGCGAACACCTTAACCACCAGGCCAACCCACTGAAGAACAAAGAGTTATTGTGATTAAGAGTGAGTGAGTTTAGTTTTACGCCACACTCAGCAATATTCCAGCTATATGGCGGTGATCTGTAAATAATCGAGTATGGACCAGACAATCCAGTGGTCAAAAACAATGGCATTGATATAAGCAATTGTGATACCATGACATGTGTCAACCAAGTCAGCGAGCCTGACCACCCGATCCCATTAATCGCCTCTTACGACAAGCACAGGTTACTGAAGATCAATTCTAACCCGGATCTTCACGGGTCAAGACAAATGAGAGTGACTTACTAGGACACATAGTAAAACCAGAAGCCATCAGTCTGCACCCAGTCTCTGATCTGATCCCTGAAAGATGGAACACAGAAATTGTCAAGGCTTAACAAAGGTCAGTACACTATTCATTTCAGTACTCCTACATATCAAACAATCCCTATCATTAATTACTTTTCACATTCATACTCCAACTACATAATGTGTGTATTCATGTAGCACCGACTTCAATACACAAGGTTTATACTTGATCCACTAACATTATTACCCTAGGCAATGGATCACACTGCACTTCTTTGATTGGCATTCTAGAAGTTGGGTAGATGAAGAATGAGGACTTGCTTGACAACGACCTTAGAATCTTATCAACATCGCCTATGCAGAATAAAGAAGTTGTATATCCATAAAAATAGCCCTCATTCTTGATCACACAGCACTTGATATCCATTCTCACTGAAAGAATACAAACCAAGCTGACTGTGACAGTCAGCGAGCCTGACCACCCAATCCCCTTAGTGGCCTATGCCCTTTGAGTGGGCAAGTGAGTTTAGTTTTATGCCGCACTCATAAAAGTATCATATGACTTAACTAACACACTGTGGTGAAGTTCATTGAATAAACAACACTACATGAGTGAGTGAGTTTAGTTTTATGCCGCACTCAGCAATAGTCCAGCTATAAGGCGGAGGTCTGAAAAGAATCAAGTCTGGACCAGACAATCCAGTGACCAACAGCATGAGCATTGATATGCGCAGTTGGGAGCCGATGACATGTGTCAACCAAGTCAGCGAGCCTGACCATCCGATCCCGTTAGTCACCTCTTACGACAAGCATGGGTTACTGAAGACCAATATTCTAACCCGGACCTTCATGGGTCCCCACACAACATACTCACGCAAATATGAAGAGGCAGATGAAGGCCAGGGTGACCAGCAACTGTGCCATCAGGATAAGATACACCTGAAATACACGCCATCATATGGGTCATGTCATTCTGAAGATGATACAGTCCACGAACTTGTGGTTAGACAATATAACTGTGCATCATAGAATCACGATTTCCTACTTCCCAATACAACTGTCAATCACATTGTCAAATTAAGTAAATAATACTAGTAAAATCTAGATATTTTTTATATACGTAGAGAAACAAATAAAAGAACACAGAAAATTCAAAGTGTTCTTTTATTATTTTTCAGTTTTCATCACCACAGCGCTATTCAAAGCTTGTGATGAAAACTAGAAAATAATAAAGGAACACTTGAATTCTCCTGTGATCCTTTACTTGTTTCTCTACGTATATTTGTATACTTATCCTGCATTACTCCTTAATGCATTTACTTCTTTCCTTTGACAAGACGAAGCTGTGTGATGGAAACGTTGAAGAGAAGTTTTTCCAACTAAGCGAGCCGCCATATTGCAATCGCACTGCACCCACGTGACCCGGAAAGTGCTGACGTCATGTATCTTCACATTACTGCTGAATCGTAACATCTGAAGAAACATCGTGGTGAGGTAGCGCTGCGATGGGCAGGCGACGAGACTGAGTAATGCAGGCTAAGTATACAAATATAAAAAATATCTAGATTTTACTATATTTTTTTACCTTATCCTGCATTAGTGTTACGACTAAATTCTCCCTTGGATGTCTTGGAGACAGGAATGAGCAGCTGTTTTCTTGAACCACGATGAGCCCTTGACCGACGGGAAAAACACTGAAGTGTGCGGACCGGGCATAAATGAAGTTCTACGTCATCTTCAGACCCCCACAATCGAAGACAGAGTTGGAATAGTGAAAGACCTATCGGGCTGTCCTGGGAGTTGATTTTTTGCTATGAAGTCCCAGCACAGTAACAGGTGGACGGCCCTGTGTTGGGTACGTTCAAAACGAAACCATGTGACATCGAGTGCATGCAGCTTGCTCATCCTAGCTGCCGTGGCCAATGCAAGCAGAAAAGCTGTTTTCTTGGTGAGGTTGTGAAAAGATATGGTGTGAAGTGGTTCGAGCGGCGCCTCCTGCAAAAGCCAAAGCACCACTTTCAGGTCCCAAGCAGGCGGTCTGAACTTGGCCTTCTGGTCCTCTAATTGGAAGGAGCGCCGCAGCAAAGCTTGCAATTCCAGAATCTTGGTCATCTTCTGTCCTCTGGAACAGCTAACACCGAGTTCAGAGGAACCAAATACGTGGTAATGGTACTACTCCTGAGGTGTCTGTGATTACGCAGAAACAGAAGAAATTCAGCCAAGAATTCAAGGTTATGGGGTAACAGGATCCTGGTGTTTGTCCTTGCAAAACCTCTCAAAGGATCTCCATTTGTCGACATATAAACCTCAAGTAGAGGGTGTCTGTGCTTTAGTTATTGCCCTAACTGCTCTAGCTGTATAACCTGTGGCGTTTAAAGCCCTTTGTAAATGTACCAGGCGTGCAGATGAAACTGATCTGGAGCCGGGTGTGGAAGTCTGCTGTGTGGGTGTATCAGTAGATTGGGGCCACTCTGGTAGCTTTAGAGGGTCGTTGGTAACAAACGAACAAACTCTTCGTCGGCCACCAAGGCACCATAATAATCAGAGAGAGAGGTGGTGAGTCGCTCTGACCTTTTCAAGGACCTTGGGAAGAAGTACCGGTGGTGGAAAAACGTACGCACTTAGGCTTTCCCAACGGACGCTGAGAGCGTCTACCACCCATGCTTGTGGATCCGGAACTGGAGATATGTAGGTTCGGATCTAGAAGTTCTGGCTGGTGGTAAACAAGTGTTGGGATGGCCGAAAAGGCGACATACGAATGCCTCCGGGTGTAGCTTTAAGTCCATGGGCGCTGTCTTGTCCGGTCTGGAAAGGTCGTCCGCTAGAATGTTTCTGCAGCCCGGAATACGCTGGACGATGAATTGCAAGTCCAAGCGATCGACAAGATGAAAAAAAACGAAAAGTCTTACGCAGCAGGGAGGGAGAATGAGTTGCAAAGACACCTTGGTGTTGTCTGTCGATATGATGAGGTCGGCATGCTGAAGTCCTGACTGCCATCCGAGACATGGCCAGAATGACTGCCTCCAGCTCCAGATTGTTGATATGCCAACTGTGTTGGTCAGTGGACCACCGCCCTGAGATGACCTTGCCCTCGAGATGGGCACCCCAGCCTTGGAGAGATGCATCTACGAAGAGGCATACAGAGAGGGTGTTACTTCGGTAAAGGAGACACCTCCTAAGACATTCGACTCTATCGTCCACCATCGTGGGTACATCTTGAGGTGAGACGGTAGAGTGATGGAGACCGACCAATCCTGACGCCTGATGAATGGGGCTAGGAAAAGTTAGATCAGGCACAGTTGAAGGTGTCCACTGGCTGTCAGACCCTGTGCTGATGTTAGTAAACCCGGAAGTCCTTGCCACTGGCGAAGTGTATGGGATTGATGGAGCGCTGGATGAAGATGCCGCAGAATCTTGAGCTAGCGGTCTCTCTCCGAACGGATAAGAGGTCCAGATGGGTCTGAAACAATCCCCCCTATGAGCATGCAAGAGGGAGTCAGCTCCGAATTCTGCTCGTTGACAATCCATCCCAGCTGATAAAGGAGGTGTCTGGTGAAATCCCTGTGTAGGACAATCGTCGATGTACGACTCGAATTGAAAGTTCCTAAGGTGTAAAATTAGCCACGGGGCTGAAGAAATTCCAAATGGGAGTACCGCCCACTGGCAATGGACACCATTGAAAATAAACCTGAGGAAACGCCTGTAGCTGGGGTGGGTTGGTACATGCAAATACATGTCCTGTGGGTCGAGACTGATAAGGTAATTGTGGGCGCTGATTCTGGTCCTGAGCAGTCTCAACGTTGTCATTTGAAAGGAGGTTCCAGATAACGTTAGTTGAACCGAGATAGATTGTGGATTATTCAGAACTTGTCGGAGTCCTTTTTGGGAACCAGAAACACTGGTGAATAAAATCCTGGTGTCAATGTCAGCCCCTGAACTATCTCTATGGCTTTCTTGTGTAACAATATGTTTATATTGTCCAATAAGATGTAATGTTTGTTGGGGGGTAGACATCCGTTCAGGGTGATATTGTTAACGGTGGACTGTCTAACAGTGAAAGTCGATAGCCCCGACGGAGGATGTTGGTGACGAACAGGTCCCCTAGAAAGCACCAGTTTTTCCAATATCAGCCCAGTCTCCCACCTACTAGGGTGTCTGTGATTGGAACGGGTGGGGGTGGCAGTTCCCAGTCGTTGTGGTCCAGCACTTCATTGCTTGCCCCTCTTGGACCTCCCCCTGCCAGAACTCCTGTCTCAAGGGGGCTGGTAATTCCCAGATTGTCTCCCTCTCTCATGGCCTCTACCCCAAAAGGGCTGGCTGGTCTGGGGCTTGAGAGAGTTACACCAGGGTTGATAGTTTCCTGCCCTTGGAATTTTTTGCACCGAATTCTTAGAAACTTGTTCCAGGGCCTTGAGGGCTGTCTCATCACGGGCATAAGCAGAAACACGGGAGTGTGTGTTGGAAACTTCACCATTGAAAAGGGAGGAAGCAGACCAAGGCTGACATAGCAGACGTTAAATTCCAAGTCCCTTTCTGAGAGAGCCAAATACCCCAGGCGTCGTGTCGATGTGATTTCAACTAATGCCGCCTACAGATGATTACTCATATGCTCAATCTGCCTCTGTTGGAAAGTCATCACAGTGTGGAGATGGTCTATACGATTCAGATTGCTTTCAGACAAGTCCTGACTAATTGCCCTCGAAGAGGAAGCCAACACTGACAAAGGTTTGAGGGAGCGTCAAACTTCCGTCTCACTAAAGGCTAAACGAGTGTCTGGCATACAAAGCGTTGTACAGTGTAAGTCCTCATCAAGTGCGTGAGGTAAATCCGCTACCTCAAGAGCATGGATAGGAAAATCATCCTTCCGAAAACGTGGCGCCTTAATAGATGGAGTAAGGGATAGCCTGGCAAAATCCTCATCAAGATGTCAATCCCCCGGACACGGGGAGGGAGCCACAGAGGATAGTCAAACCTGCCATCCAATCCAGGACTTGGCAGAGTCCTCATAAATCGGGACAAAGGCGCCCCCAGATGAATCAGAATGGTAGTTATAAGGCCTCCGGACTGGAGAACGACTCCTCGACCTGCATCTCTGTTTAGTGGATTTCCTGCTCGATCGAGAACCGGCTCCTGGTGAAGCCGAATCACGATATGAAGTAGCCCAAGAGGTAGAGGCACTACCCGTAACGCCAAAGGCGCCACACATGTCGGATCGGTAACGGGAGTTACAAGTGGCGCCATCCTCTGTTGAAACATAAACTGTAGAAAGGACTGTATCCAACCTTGATCCATGTAGGGCACCTGAGGCGTGAACTGGTCGACAGGTAAACTAGGATGCACCAAAGGTCCTGGTGCTGTCATCACTAAAGACACTAAAGGCGCCGGGAAACGTAGATGGTGTCGGAGAAACAAGTGCTGACGCCACTGAAGACGAAGTCGCTGAAGCGGTGGGAAGTGTCGACAAAACACTAAAAGACGTTGTTGTAAATAAACCAGATATCGCCATAGTCGGCAGGGGCGACGTCGCCTCCAAACATGCATCTCCATAGATGCATTTTGCGTGAGGCACTTCCTGGAAACCCTCAGGTATTTATAGAAAGCTGTGGGAGAAAGTCTGAGACCATGTCAGCACTTGGATGTCATGGAACACTGCCGAGTATAGTTTAGACACCTCGGATGGGGGGCCCTGCTTGACTTGCTGCCATTGCAGACAATATACAACGTGGCATATCTGCAATTTAAGCAGAAGCCCAAGTGTGTACAAAATAAACACACACCAATAAATTGACAAACATTATGTCCATCCTACCAATATATGGTTAAGGGGAAAATCTATATGCTTGTAACAACATACCAAATAAATTACAATTGTATTTTGTAACTAAAATTGTAGTATATAAACTGAACATTGGTCAAGTAGCATAAAAGAAATTACCAAAGAATAATACATGAATTACAGAGCGTAAACCGAGGCCGTGTTCACGCCAACTGAATTCAACATGGCTAAGTGGAACAAGCACGCATGATATTACCGTGAATAAAATAATTATCATGCAGACCAGGTTAATACACAATTACACTTCTCTTTAGCTAAATAGTAATATGTGAAATCACAAACCGGTTCAGAAGAATCTATCCAAAGAAACACATGAAAGAAACAGAAACACAAAATAAACGTGTATAGTCGCAAACTTTAATCCATGAAAAATCGCATGGCCTGTCAGGCTGGTGACAAGCAGTAATGAGAAGATACGTGACATCAGCACTTGGGTGCAGTGCAATGGCAGCTTGCTTAGTTGGAACAACTTCTCTTCAACGTTTCCATCGCACATCTTCGTCTTGTCAAAAGAAAGCAGTAAATGCATCAAGGTGTAATGCAGGATAAGGTATAAAAAAATAATAATAATTTTTCCACCCAAAAGTGAGTGAGTGATTTGGGTTTGACGCTGCTTTTAGCAATATTCTAGCAATATCGTGATGGGGGACACCAGAAATGGGCTTCACACATTCAACCCATGTGGAAATCAAACCCGGACTTCGGCATGATGGGCGACCGCTTTAACCACTAGGCTACCACACCACCCCTCCACCTAACAAAGACTAATTAGAAGTAATAACTTAAATATTTCCATTTATTCTGACATTCAGTTGACATTGACACGCACTGGAGTGCATAATAAAAAAAAATGGCAGCGTGTAATAGTACAGAGTTACTTCGGGGGCGGTGGGGTAGCCTAGTGGTTAAAGCGTTGGCTCGTCACGCCGAGGATCCGGGTTCGATTCCCCACATGGGCACAATGTGTTAAGCCCATTTCTGGTGTACCCCGCCGTGATATTGCTGGAATATTGCTAAAAGCGGCGTAAAACTAAACTCAGTCAGTCAGTCAGAGTTACTTCCCTTCTTGTTCTTCAGCTAGGACTATCAATTTCATTGTCTGAATCAGTAAGTGACTAGACAGTAAAAAAAATGACACGTTTTAGTTGGTCACCTTGTCCTATGGAAGCAAGGTGGTCACTCGTTTGAAGCCCATTTCTGGTGTGCTCTGCCATGATTTTGTGTAAGACCGGTGTAAGACCAACCTCACTCTCTCAGTTCCCCATTTTAGCCATGCCAACTTACACTCGTCAGCAGGTTCACAAACTACATGATCTAGACTAGCAGTTGTTGGTCTTCCCTTTTTGTGGAAGCCACATTGGCTGAGTGGGTTAGATCACTGTCTTTGTGTGCTGGCCATTTGGTGCCATAGTTTGAGATCTGTTCGAATCCTGGATGGGACTCAACCCCAGAAAGGTACTAGAAATTATACAAAGAAAGTGTACATTCCAATACAACATAAGTTAACCTCTTCCTCAATCATACCTTCTTGATAAAAGATCTTCCGAACAGCTTTATCTGAAAAGCCTGCCATAACTGTATCACTGAAAGTGTTATCTTCTTCAGGTTTGGGCTCCATTTGGAGGCGGCGGTCTCACAAAGGCTGGCTGGGGTGGTGGCGGGTAAGGTACGATGCGGAGGCATTTGGTCCCTGGCTGTAGGCGGTGTTATACTGGCCTTGACCCATCTCAACCGGAGCAAATCCAATACCTGTCACAGAAAGGTGGAAAAAATATTGTCACAATATTGGGTTCATGTCACAAAATTGAATTGCTAGATACCCTGCTGTAGGGCTGCGCAATATAACCAGTTTACCGGTATTTACCGGTTTAGACATGAAAACGATACGTATTGCGATACGCTGATCAAAAACCGGTATTTGACATGCATTCGGGAATCGTCATAAAACTCGGAAATCTTCGGATATTTCCTTGTTTCATTTGTGCCAGATGTTGTTCACATTTTTATTTTATCATGATTAAAAGTTGTTATTAAAGCTTAATCAAGCATAGTGACTTTGTTGTGTTTTTGCTCTATAAATCAAGCAGTAACTCGATTATAAGTAGTTTTTTTGTTTAAAAATACTTCATGCAATATATTGCAATACATATCGCAATACATGCTTTCGCATCACAATATATCGCAATATCAATATTCTCTGCAATACCCACCCCTACCCTGCTGTGTGTTAGCAAAAACCGTGTGTTGCAATATGATGCTAAACAGGAATAGTTCACAGTGAAAATTATACTAAATTAACTAAATATCGACTTACCTTGCAGCTAACTAAACATGAAATCCAAGAAGAAGCTGTTTATCTAGTAAATGTAAATGGATAATTCTCTCAACAATTTCTAGTTTTTGTATACTCTTGCAGTTTAATAGATGTCATTTGAAGAGAGCTATCCATTAAAAACCTTGGTCATGGGCACCTAAGACTAGCATGAAAACTTTGTACTTGCAAAGTACTTGCTGTTGTACTTATGCTTATCAACCACTGAACAACCGTATCAACAGGGAATATGTATGGGGATACCTAACGCGATAAGATTGGGGGAATAAGTGTCTGAATATGATTCTCACTGACTGTACTACATGCTGTAGTAAACGATACTTGCAGACATTTTGTTGTCATGGATACAGGGGAGATAACAATGTGAAATCACTACTGCATTACTATCATTTTGTCAATCAATGATTGAGTTTCTGAGTAGATTTTAGGTTCAAAGAAACAAATAATAAATTAAAATCTTATTTTCTTATATTGAAAAGTGTATCCCAACACGAGCTGAATTCGACGTTCTGGTGATTTCGACGATTGCATTGCTCGCGCTATATCGGGTGAGTACGTGTGCAATCGGAGTGCACAAACAGTTTCACTGGTAGGGCGGGTGCCCAGTCGCTGTCGTGAGAAGTTTTATTGACAATGGAAATCGGGAAGTAAAGTTATATAAAAAGCAAACAAACATCAATATTATTTACCCGAGATCGTTAATACCACTTCAGATGCAAAATCAGTTGCCTTTATAACAAAAAATAGCAAGCAAAAATTCAGTAAGATCAGTCGTCTGCTGGTGACAGGCAATATATAAATAGGAAGCCACATGATCCTATACAAAATTCCCGGATGTTATGAGCGGCCACTGTTTCGCCGATACAATGTCATCAACGCTATTTTTGTAGGAAACACTTGATATTTTTGTGTGATATAGATGAATATATCCTTTATCACTCAAGATTAGTAAAATAAAAACTTTAAATGATATTACAGATAAAAATTACGTTTTTGTCTTACACCATGCAGTCAGAAAGATATCAGACCCTTGAAGATCCGGGTTAAAATTGATCTTCAGTAACCCATGCTTGATGTAAGAAGTGACTAACATAATCGGATGGTCAGGCTCGCTGACTTGGTTGACACATGTCATTGTATCCCAATTGTGTAGATCGATGCTCATGCTGTTGATAACTGGATTGTCTGGTCAAGACTTGATTATTTACAGAACTGCTGCAATATAGCTGGAATATTGCTGAATGCAGCGTAAAAATAACCTCACTCACCCACTCACTCTCCCTAAAGATATCAACCAAGTTACAGATGCTCTTCTCAAAATCTTTGCTAAAAGGATGAATGATTGCATTTAGCCATTCTTGAAAATGTGCGTCAACAAGATGAAACATGCAGGTAATGAAACTTAATTCATCCACATATATTTATCCATATTTCTTAGGAATCTAATGATGTTACTATCTTTATGAAAACACTCAATAAATCATACAGACAAAAGCTCACCTGTGTTTGGATGTTCACTGTAGCCATAGTTGGCTTGGTCATAACTAGGTGGCGCTTGTGTGGGATGCTTGCTCATCTTCGCTGAAACATAAGGAGGGTAGTCGTGAACCACAATATAAGCATCATTTTATAAGGTCAAACAGTGACTCAAATTTAAAGGTTTCGGTGTCCTTTTAGTACAAGAAAAATAACAACCCCCAAATCTTATGACTGTTCATACTGGTATCATGAAAAGGACTGCAAGCATATTTCTTTTTTCTCAGAGTCAGTTCACTTGTACTTCCACAGCCTGTCTTTTGCTATAATTAAGGCATGCTAAATATCTAATCAAGGGACAAGAGAGTTTTGCAATAAACACCGAAAACATACCAACATTAACAACATGATAATTCGTTTTCATTATAGGCCCAATGAACTCTTATCATGAAAAGACAGTCAAAACCAATATTGTTTTTAAGTAGACAAAAAGGCTGTAAATCCCAACATTATATTTCAGCAATTCAACTACATGTGCAGTTAGTCAAGCCATTATCCTGTGATCTCCAAGCTGATCGATGCTAAGTCAATAACAATCCTTAGTAAACAAGGCTCTGATGTTGACAAAGCTCTACAGGTGTAGGTTCACAGACTGTGGATTAGTGCTGGACATGACCCACTGAACCTCACAACAGGAAACACAACACAGTTATTCTGGCCCACAGGATGCAGTAATGTTACAACTTACAGCAGGAAAATGTCATCCTTACACAAATCCTATGTAACATGAGAGAGTGTGAGTTTAGTTTTATGCCACTTTTAGCAATATTCCAGCAATATCACCGCGGGAGACACCAGAAATGGGCTTCAGACAATGTGCCCATGTGTGGAATAGAACCCGTGTGACGAGCAATCACTTGAACCACTCGGCCACCCCGACGCCTTAATTTTGCAGCATTATAACCTAGACCTCCACAGTATTCCTGGTATACCAGCATACCTTAATGTGCTTCTTAAACAATATGATTGCAACATTTTTTCTGAGTCCCAGTACATTGGGTACAACAATACATGGAGCTTTGTGACTATCTCTATGGTTCAAACTAAAACCTACACAGACTTTCAGTCAAGACTGAGGTTTCCCGTAATTGGCAAAATGGCATACTTTACATACTATAAATTGTATAAAACACAAACTAGAGTCCCTAGCTGTCCAACGTAATTTTGAGATTGATGTTATCAGAGCCATTTTTTAGAGCTTTAGTATGTAGAAAATAGAATCTGTATGCACAATCAGTTTCACTCACAGTCAAACATTTTAGTTTACAATATATCACAATAGGCATTGTAATACAAGTACCTGAAACATAATATATTGCAGTACAACCGATTTGCTAATACCCAGACCTATTATATACCAACAAAGGGTCAACCACTAGACTATAATCTTTCATTTAAGACATTCTTCAAACCTGTTCAATCTCAAAGATCAAGGGATAGGGCGTTCATGTTCACAAACCGGTTTAAATTATACTTCCTGGTAGGGTACATGTTTACATGTATAATGTCTATAAGGCAGACAAAGTAGCTCAAGAATAAAATATTTCTCGTCACATTCTAAAATAAATACAGTATTAATGAAGACAGAAATAACAAACTGTTTTGGGGTACCTGCCACTTGGTGTATATTTGAGTCAAAGTAAAAATGCATGCAACAAACTTCGATCGAATTTAAAATGAACCAAACATAGTGGTCGGTTTGAGTCCATTATAACCGCGGTTAACTGCACAGGAAGTCATAATATTGACAACATTCGAAACAAAGCGTGTAAAGCAGTTATAGTTCTGTCGAATTAAAGTCAGCCAATACTAAGCAGGGCTTGATTTAAGAGATGTTAACCTACTTGCACCAGGTGCAACCTGAGATAAAAACCTAGTTGCACCAGCCAAATTCCAGTTGCACTGTTTTTATGGTAATATGTAATGAATGGAATATGCCATTGAATTATTTAGATGTTTTATTCAGAAGTTTACCCACTCAACAATTGACCTGCACCTGGTGCAAGTTAGACTTATAACTACGTTGCACTTTGTAATATTGGCTAGCATCAGTGCAAGTAACAAAGCACTAAATCGAGCCCTGCTAAGGGTATGTGGTGTTATCGTGAACTGGTTTATTGAAGTTCATTCTTTCCACGATCACAACAAAAAAATTAATGCCCGCTACATGGGGTGATTTAAAATAGCGATTTTTATCACGTTTAATGTTATACACTTGACAAACACATTCGAACTGTTACCATAATCATTAAAGGCAAGCCCGCGAAGGTGAATTCTCTGTTAGTGTCCTACTGTGCTTGTACATTCCTACACTTCTGCCAACAACATCCGGGTCTCAAAGATGGAGGCATGGGTTGCCATTACCACCAGAATCTAATTTTGCTGTGAACTTATTTTGTGAACTTTAATCCATGCAATAATATTTCTGACTGCTTCTGAATACAAAATTTGGAATTATGCAATATATAATGAGACGTACTGCAATACAGCCTTGTGTATCGCAATACATTGTGACACACCTTGAACCTCCAGTTAACATTCCTATCTGATATCCATGATTGATTATACTGTGCATCATATCCCTAAAGACAAATGTACCTTGACTCATCAGCCACCACAGCTTTGATTCAGAGGCAACATCATATTATCCATCTCTCTTATCGATATCTTATCACAAAATTGGTCACATGACCCTGTAATCAACAACAAAATATGTTCATTTTTCTAACCAGTGTCATACAGGGATTTACCTTGAGTCCTATATTTGAAGGTCCCTGGGACTCATACTCTTAATTTTCAGGGGTCCTGGGCTACAAAATGGGGGTCCCAGACACTTAAATATTATTATTAATACTATTTTGTATTGTTGTTGTAATTCAGTTACTGTTATTGTATTGTGTATCATGATCATCACATTGTTTCGGTAATTAAATTGCAAATGATACCATAACCAGGCTAGTATTGTTACTTGATCTAAATTTTTACAAAAAGTATTTGGACTTTTTCTGAGTCCCAGTCGATGCACTAATACATTTCGTTGCATCTTAAATGTAAACTTTGCATAACACCAAAATGTCTTTTCCTGACAGGGTTAACCTCTTTGGTCATGCGGACAAGGCGTCCGACTTCGGATCAGAAGGTCCGTGGTTCGAATCCCAGCACGGGACTCGGAAATTTTATGGCCGCTACAACTGGATGTTCACTAGGGCTGTGTATTGGGAAATAAATTGTATTGCAATGTTTTGCGATTCAGGTACCTGTATTGTGATACGTATTAGGTGTTTGACAATAAATGGCACTAATTGTGCTTGTCAATCCAATTTTCTACATTATAAGTCCCTGGAAATATATGTTATGGTTCTGATAACAGCAATCTCAAACTTAGGTTGTATAGACAGGGATTCTATTTTCATTTTTATGAAGTCATAGCTTCACAAAGACCAATGCAATGATTTTTAAAAGTCAACAATCTTTCAAAGAAAATGTTTACCTCAACAAGGCCTTGAATGGGTTGCTGAAATGACTATGGCCCTCCCTTAGAATTCAGCACTACAAAGACACTAACACTGCAATACCTATATTTATACCAATGATATGTCGCAACAAGTAACTGCGACAAGAGACAGTGTTGCCCTTGCGTCACAGGGGTGCATTAGCTCCTCTCAATGATCAATCCTCTCTACATTCAGCGTCAGTTACTACCAGTTACGCACCTGGGGAGATCCAGCGTAGGATAGGTCTTCAGCTACCCACATATTTCGTAACAGGCTTGATGATTGATGGATGCCCTGTTATGACATATGCGTCACCTTATCACAAATGTGTCGATATCAATAGCTATATTTTGTCTGAGATTGCAGTATAGAGGACATATTGCTGGATACAGCATTAAACAACCAACACCCAGCTTCGGACCTTATGTCTCCTAACAAACAATAATCAGTCTGTTGTTTGCATTCACAAAGTTAACACATAAATTGACAGAAGCATCCTCATATAATTATTAACCAGGGATTTACAGGATGCGAATTCCTGCGTCCTATATGCATAAAACTTGACAATGGACACAAGGCAATGTATTAGCGCATCCACTGGGATGCAGAAAAAGTCCAAATACTTTTTGTAAAAATTTCGATCAAGTAACAATAAGTTATCACGGAATCTGCTACTAGCTGGGTTATAGTATCATTTGCAATTTAATTGCTGTAACAATGTGACAATCATGATACACAATACAATAACAGTAACTGAATTACAACAACAATACAACATAGTATAATAATAATATTTAAGTGTCTGGGACCCCCATTTTGTAAAAAATTAAGAGTATGTGTCCCAGGGACCCTCCAATACAGGGCTCAAGGTAAATCCTTGATTAACCCATGAATAATACCATTTTGTCCTGATATAAACGTAGCAGAGACCATATAATAATATAATAATCTATTATATGGTCTCTGCTCACAGGGTGCCGTTTTACACAGCATTGAACAACCGTAGTGCTATGACTGTCATACAAACAAAATATTAGTTTTACATAAAATAGCTCAAATGATCTCTGGACTTGCCAGATATGCCCAAAGCTGTATACGAGTTTTAACGATTTGATAAAACAGGTTGCATTCATGATTGCAGAACAAGAAGCGTATCTTGAACATTCTCTGACAGCTTGATGGCGGACGTCGGGGACAAGACAAGATAAGACAGAAAAGAATACCACACAGTCGACAGGTCCTAAATACCATCAGCCATTGTAAAAGTCCTCTCTCGCCTTACCTGTGTTGTGTTACAGTATCCGAAATCTAGTCGCAAAGGCGATCTTTCGGCAGAAACCAAAGCAACGCCCGTTGCCTATTACGCAAAGTAGTAAATACGGAAGTGCGTAGTGTTGAGAATTGACCAATCAAATCCATCCTTACTTTCGCAATCATTTCTTCGCCTCACAACAGCAGTACTAAGAATGTTGAGTACAGCGTAGACTAGATCTAACACTCTGTCTCTAAATATATATAATTTTGATAGTGATATCATTTAAATTGAAAAGGACCTCCAGTGATATGTAGGATTCAGAACATTATGAAATCTAGTCTTGCTTAGTTTAGAGCTTTAACATATATAGCTTTGCAGGGAGGGCTTAATACTATGCGGTTCAGGGACTGTCAGACAAAGTACAGGCGGTTTCGCGAAGGTTTTACAAGCTGGAATGTGTTTTCTGTCAATTGCGTGTCCTAATATTACATTTATTATATTTTAATGATTTCTGTATACTTAATCCAAAGCGAAACAATGTCAGCGTTATCAATAATAACGATTATGTTAGTGATGACTGAAACAGTAATGAGTGAGTGAGTTAAAATTTAACGTCACCTCGTCAATATTTCAGCCATATAGTGACGAGAAAGGTTTTGCATACATAATAAATACAAGTTGTTAAAAATCCAGTCATGAAAGGACTGTAAAATAACTAGAGTATCACAGATGGTGTTTAAAACTAGCATGTAAGTCGAAAACTATTTTACTTTTGAAGGCAATGTAATATAAACACACAAATTATGAGACGTTAATTTTCCGCTTTCTACTTTGTGCTCTCAGTTCGTATTTGTAATACAATGTTATCAATATATTGAAACAAAGTGACAGTTTAAAATCAAATATGTGAGGTGAGGTGAGGTGAAATTGGTTTTAACGTCGTGCTTGAGAATATTTCGCATCAAATATGTATCATTATTATGTTATACAATGCTGTTACATAATCACTGGCTCCATCTATCCTTAATTGTCCTCACAAATGTAATTATTTGCAACCCATGCACTGAAAATGACACCGTTTAGACCAATGACAAAATGCCACAGTTATTAAAAAAATTCAAATAAAACTTTTATTACTTAGAACCTTATTCAGGGACAAGGTATTTATTAGAATGGGAAGGTATCATGAAGACGATGCTACACAAAGAAGAAACACATGAAACCGAAACTGTTTCAAGATTTGAACAGACACGGTGATGTTCGCATTACGGCCCTTTGTTTCCCGATAATTCCAGGGGGTTCGACCCCCCTTTTGAAAATGACTTAAGATCACATTGAAGATTTTTTTGCGTTGACGGAGTCAATAAACCACAGAGTCTGACCAACACAATATTCTCATTTACGCGGAAACTCGCGTATAATTATCTCCCATGGTGACCCCTGCTGTCGTGAAAACTAATTTCATTAGAAGGGATAAAGAAAACGCGCAGAAATGTCACGCAAAAAGAAATTCGAATATGTGCGGTGTATGTATTACTACAGGTAAGTCAAGAGCTAGGTGATGGGGTAGCCCAGTGGTTAAAGCGTTCGCTCGTCACGCCGAAGAACCGGATTCGATTCCTCATACACAGGTACAATGTGTGAAGGCCATCCCTGGTGATCCCCGTCGTGATATTTCTGGAATATTGCCCCAAACGGCATAAAACTATATTCATTTAAATTACGGATACTAGAGGTACCAAGGGACACAAGAATGTAAGCAAACATATTGCAGTGCAATGTTTTTACGTAACACTAGTACTTGAAAAGCTTATCAAACAGAACCAACACGAGCTGGCCTCGCTGTTCATATATACTTCCCATCAAAAGTTTAGACTCACTTAAAACACTCACTATATGTTATGTATATATATGGTTACATCGAAGATATATTTCTCAACTAACTTGGGGGTACCAACTGCAAACCTAATGCAGATGAATTGCATGAGGATCATGCATCAAATTGCTGAAAAGCATGTGCAGATATCGTGCATGTGAACAGCTGCGTTTTGGTGTAAAGTTTTGTTAAGAATTCGCCAATTTTCACGGATTCTTATCATTTATTTTATCATTATGACAATAATCTTTTCAACATTACGAATTTGTTTTACAATACATCAGTTCATGTGTAAACAGTACCTTAAACAGTATGGAATATTTTGCAAACTTTAGTTTAGACCAGTTGCCAGAAGTAAGTGGCTATATTTACACAAGTGAGTCTAAACTTTTGATGGGTAGTATATGTAGACTGAATTTGGTAATGTCACTATTACTCTATAGCTTACGAACACGAGCTGGCCTCACTGTTTATATGTATCTACAACAGAGATATCCAAACTGTTTCCCTACAACATTCTGGGCATAACAAGTTTAGTATGTCTAGATCACTTTGATCATATGATCAAATCAAATCAAAGAAACAGAATAAATCATCCAACGATCAACAATATCTAACTCACTCACCGGCGACTTCCATTCTGTAGCAGAAGCCCAGGTAACTGTGGACAGATGAAAGAGACACAGTAGTTTATTACCCTGAAGATAAATAAAGAATTCGGATTGGTCAGTAGCCAAAGCATACGAAACCATGTAGGCGGATTTGCCAAGGTGTACGAACCGTACACCCCGTCAAATCTGTCACGTGACAAACGACACTGGTTGTGCAAACTACCTTGACCTTAGATGGAGTGAGTGAGTTAAAATTTAAAGTCACATCGGCAATATTTCAGCCATATCGTGACTAAAACTAGTTCTAAATTTATAATACATACAGATCATATATAAAACCCTGTCAACGAAGGACAGTAAAATCACTAGATTATCACAAAATGAGTTAAAACTAGCTAGCATATAACTTTAAAAGTAGAAAACTATTTTTAGACAATACAATGTAAAAATGGGCCAGTAATCGCCAACAACTGAAGGTAGATCACCATACCAGGGACCATGGGGACTTACAGTGCCTTTGCTACCTGCATGGACCCTAGCTGGATTTACACCATCCCTTCAGCCATTGGCGGTTATACTGAGATTTAGCCATACATTAAAAACACAAAAATACTACGATTAAAAACCTGGTTTTGGGACTTACGTACCCTCTCAGGAGGACAATAATTTTACGCTACTTCAACCCCCTTTGAGGGTACAGCCACTAACAATCTCAGTTACTAATTTAAATTACCAATAATAAAATATTTATCTATTTACAAATCAGTTAACAAATCTAATTCTTTTAAAAATGCAATAATTAAATGAGAACTTATATTACTAAAAAGATCCTTCATAGTTCGTGATTTGAAATAGATATCTCTTGTGATGGAATATTCAACACAGTCAAGCAGGACATGCTTGACCGTGATTCTTTCATCACAAGGGATACAAAACGGAGGATCCTCACCTTTTAATAGGTATTCGTGGGTATATCTGGTGTGACCAATACGACATCGTCGCATGATGACCTCTTCAAATCTCGACTGACAACCCAAGTAAGTGTAGCCAATATAGTGTTTTATTTCATGTAATTTATTAATACCTACTTGAGTGTCCCACTTCTTCTGCATCAGATCACGGATGTAAGTTCTAATGCTGGCTTTGTAATCAGAGTATGGAATAAGAAGTGGTGTCACAGATTTGTTGAGTGCTGCCTTGGCAGCAAGATCGGCCAAAGTATTCCCAGAAATACCAACGTGGCTGGGTAACCAACAGAGGACGATGTCGTATTGGCCAGTGGCAAGATCATTATATAATTCTATAATTTCTAATAAAAGTGGATGTTTACAAGAAAGGTTTTTAATAGCCTGAAGGCAAGAGAGAGAGTCGGAAAATATTATATATTGTTTATATTTAGGATGTTTATGAATATACTTGAGAGCTGTTAGTATTGCGTTAGCTTCTGCTGTGAAAATTGAACTGTCATTGGGTAATCTGGAAGATATTGTTTTGGACCAATTGACAGTGGCACAAGCCACTGCCCCACCAATCTTGGACCCATCTGTAAATAAGGATTTATATGTATTATATTTACTTCTTAATTGATTATATTCTTGTTTATATTGTAATTCATTTGTTTCCGATTTTTTAAATGTTGTAAGTGTTAAGTCAACTTCTGGTCTAACTAACTGCCAAGGAGGAGAAGAAAGAAAACGGGAAGGAGCTATATTTTCCAGCTCAATGCCGGCAGCAGCAATAAATGGCTTAATTCTGAGCCCAAGAGGCGGAACAAGAGAAGATTTTTTGTTATACAAATCCTCATAAAGAGGATTAAAGACACAGTGAAATGCAGGATTAGACTCGTTAGAATATAATTTTGTAATATATTGTAATGATAATTTTATACGGCGTTGGTTAAGAGAAGGTTCATCTGCCTCGACGTAAAGACTGTCAACAGGAGACGTTCTGAAGGACCCAAGACAAAGTCTCAGACCTTGATGGTGGACTGAATCTAAGAGTTTTAGGTTGCTTTTACAGGCTCCACCATATACGATGGAGCCATAATCAAGCTTCGAGCAGACAAGTGATCTGTAAAGGTGCAGGAGCGTAGCTTGATTCCCTCCCCACCTTGAATTAGACACGACTTTCAATAAATCGAGTGCCTTCAGGCATTTAGTTTTTAGAGATTTGATATGCGGAAGAAAAGTTAAATGAGAGTCGAAAATGAGACCTAAGGACTTGGCCTCTTTTACAACCTTGATGAGAGTGCCATTTAAAAACAGTTCTGGGTCTTTATGTGGTTTATATTTACGGCAGAAATGTATGCAATTAGTTTTTGATTTAGAAAATTTAAAGCCTTTTTCAAGACACCATTTATTTATTTTGTTTAAACACAACTGTAGTTACCGTTTAATAGTATGCATATTCTTACCGCGACAAGAAATGTTAAAATCATCCACAAAAAGTGATCCATCCATTGAATCATTTAAAACCTTGGATAAACTGTTGATCTTGATACTAAACAATGTTACAGACAAAATACTGCCTTGTGGGACACCTTGATCCTGATTATAATGGTCAGACAGGGTTGAACCCACTCGGACTTGAAATTGCCTGTCTGTTAAAAACTGTGATATAAAAAGAGGTAAACGACCCCTTAA